ACTTCATTTTATCCTTTTTTTTAAATCATAAAAAGAAATAAAGTTAGAGATCAAGCTAACTTATCAGTTTTGCCTTACTTCCTAGAAAGTTCGAATTAACTACGAACTTTGTCATCGCGCTGTCTTCTGTCAACCAACCCACTTAACTGGCGACTCAACTGCTTTCAATGTCCAAATTAAAAGCAAGATAAAAAAGTGAGTCCAATTTTGAAAGAATTATTTAATCGGACTTGTATTTGAAAAGTAAAAAAATTTAGCTGAGTTGAAAATCGCAAAACTTTTTTTACAGATAGTTGATGGATACACATATTTGCAGTGCAATCTGCTTATGTAATTAATTGGTCAAACAAAACTGGGTCAAAACTGTGACGACAAACGATACATAAAACTCAGAAGATGTCTTCGAAAACTTTTTTGAAAAACATGAATTTTCTCCTTTCAGTTCATTCTCTCACGAAGCGTTTACTCGTTTGTCTTGCGTTCAAGAGTTCAAGAGTTCAAGAGCGTCGATTAAACCTCATCCTAAGATTTTCTGTAAACAAGTTACTCCCCCCCCCCCCCCACTCTCCCTCACCCTTCTACTACTCTAAATTCTAACTAAAAATAAATATTCAACCAAATGGTTTGCTATTTTGAATGAACTTGGAAATATTTTCGTTCCAGGAATTTTTGAGCTGAACTTTAAATTCATAAAACCACTTAAACTTGCAATAAAAGATCTTAAACTTTTTTTCAGGTTGAACACCTGGCCTGCGGAAAGTTATCATTGCTTTTCTGATAGAAAACATGTCATAAGACGTTTTCGCTACAGGCTCTGTTGGAAGAAACCTGACTTCATATTTGTGTGATTTTTTTCAAGTTTTTTGTAGGTACTCCATCTCATTCAATTTAAACTAGCAGGACAGAAACGCAAAGATTTAAAATGTTAATGTGTTTTACATAGAAAAAAAATCATATAAAAACGTTGGGTGAAGAATGTTTGGTCATATTGAAACATGAATGATTTAATCAAATTTTGGAATGGTATACTCCAATTCATTTCTTGGTAAACTTTAATTTTTCCTATTAAATCATAAGACTGTTTTGAGATTTCAGCCGGTTGAATCTTTTGATGGAACTTTTCGTCATCCTTTTGATCTTTTCGATGGCATAACGAGGATTGACTTTTCGCGATGCTCACGAAAAGTGTTTTAATTTGTTCGCCCATTTGTTGTAACCACTTATCAAGATCAAATGATGTTCCTTTCCTCAACGCTTAATTTGTCTGAGAGACATAAGCACTTCTGGTTGACTTTAGGGCTATCGTGATAATTTAATTTAGTGGTATTTTTTGATAAGTACATAAGTAGAGATAACTTTACTGTTGATGGTCCTTAGAGGTACCAATATTTCTGGTTACGTTTTTTATTCTGCCAACATTGTACCCTGTCAGAAATGCTAGAACTTCAAATTATTGCAGGGCGACAAAGATTCCCGAGCAACCCTGCTCATGGTATTAAAGCCATTTGGTGAGGGGGTTCCGTATTCCATTGGCACATTCTGCGCTGCAGATGTGCACTCATTTAGAGAAAGTAGTGGATTCACAATTACGTTTTAACACAGGGGAAAAGCAGCACTTAGCAAACACCAGGAACAGAGAGCAAAACAAATCCAGGAAAATACACAAGTAAGACTTCAGAAAATATGTAAATCTAACAACGTTCCTTAGTTTAATGCTGTTGTTTGTTGCCGCGAAGGGGCGCTATCGAGCATGCCCAAATTAAATTCAAAATTACGCAGCTTCTGTAGGCAGAAGCCAGCGGCAATCTGTTGAGGTTAGACTGATGGTGTCCTTAAAAGAGTTGCCATGATACGGTGAAAGGCGGTGTGTGTATAATACATTGAGGACGTTCATGTCTTATCCCGAGTCGAGATTTTTCACCTAATTTGAAGCAAGATTTGAGCGGTTTGAACGGTTTTTTTAGACAATTACGCTCAAAATCTTGCTTCAAAATGAGCGGTTTTTGAACGGTTTATCTAAAAAAAACCGCTCAAAAACCGCGCAAGATTTGAACGGTTTTGAGCGCTTTATCCAAAAAAACCGCTCAAAAACCGCGCAAACCACTCATTTTGAAGCAAGATTTTGAGCGTAATTGTCTAAAAAAAACCGCTCAAACAATCTTGAGCTGTTTTATGAGCGTTTTTTTTAGATAAACCGCTCAAAACCGTTCAAATCTTTTTCAATCTTTAAAATTCTGTTTAAAGAGGTGTTAAGGAACTCGGATCTTAATAAGTCAAAAGTTCTCTTGGTGACCGAGGAATGAATTTCAGCACACAAGATATCAGCGGCACGACCATCTCGGGTGGTGTCTCACGCGTAATCTAAGATTGTTCTCACTGAAGCCTTGTCTTCAACCACTTATTTTATTTGGACTGACTTCAAGTTTCCAGATGAATACTTCAGGAACGATATCATGCGAGCGGCTTTTGCTGTTGTTCCAATTCAATGCTCAGCAAAGTGAAACAACTCAAAAAATTTGCCGAGTATTTTAGAGGGTTTATGTAGAAAAAGGGGGAGGAGTCATTTCCACCTAAATGCCAGCATTAAACTCCTTCTTGAACAAAAAAGAGATTAGCGGAGATTTTTGATGAAAAATAAATCCTGAAAAACTGTTCGGTTTGAAAATGAAGTCCTCGTTTAATTTATATGACTGAAACGAAAAGGTGGAAATTGTATGGTATACGAATGTAAGCTAACTTAAGCGGGCAATAAGGGGTACTGCTATCAAGGCATCACTTAACAGAGTTTTACTTGAAAACCACACAAGCAATTGTAATATTTCTAATTAAAGGTCACATTTTGCTGAGACCTTGATGTAAATCAAGTAGACTACAACAGCAGACCATATCAAAAATTGCAGACAGGTCCGATCGTGACCAGAACTGATATTAGGTGGCTCTTATTGGTTGTTGTTGTTGTTGCCCTTCTGAGATCTATTCGTCGCTCGTTGTTGGGTCCAGGGTTGTGGGGAGTTTCAGGAATATTGCTGTCTTCTTCGGTTGCTTCCAGAGATCGGCTGGGGTTAAGTTCGTAGGATTTGCGATGCAGTCGAACAGGTGTATAGTTGTGTGGCTTGTTTGCTGGCAGTCCGGGCAAAGTTCGCTTACTGTCGGGTCAATTCTGTTCATGTACGAGTTCAGGAACTTTGAGTAGCCGGATCTGAGCTGTGCCAGTGTTCTTCTTGTTGTTCTTGGTAATTCGGTTTCTTCTTTGGCAATTTTTGGTGGATTGTGTCCGAGGACTGCTGGGTATTCGTAGGTTTGTAAGGCGTCGCGTACCTCATTTGTGTGGATCGTTTTTAGCAGGTTTCTGTACTTCTTTTCGGTTAGAGGTCTATTGCTGTCGAGTAGAGGTTCAATGTATCTTTCTTCATATCGTGTTTGGAGGGTTTCTTTCATGAGTCTTGGTGGGTTCTTGGGTTCTTTCGTGAGTTGGTTTCCTGGGTGATCTGGCAAGTGGTTGGCGAGATGATGTTGTATCGTTCGCATTCTGAGGTGTCGTCTAACTGGTAGAACGGATGTTTCTTGGTGAAGGTGGTCTATGTGAGTCATGGCGTGGCATCCGGTGATTGTTCTCAGGGCGCTGTTTTGGACCTTCTGTAGTTTCTCGATGTTGCTTTCGGAGAGTGTGGGCGTTATCACAGCGGCGCCGTACTCAAGTTTAGAGCGAACAACGGCTCTTATTGGTCAAAACCATTGTTGATAAACCATCGTTGAAATCATCGTTGAGGGCATCGGGCGGAAACCATATTAATGATATATTCTGAAGAGATGCAGAAATATAAATAATTTTGGCTACAAGGCTAGCCACGCGTCTGTCTTCTGAGATGATCGAGCACCATTGACGGATGAAAGTTTGCGTCACTGCTGCTGCCGGGAGGAACAAAAAGTTTCGTGATACGTTTGCGATCAGATTTACACAATGCGCCCCCGGAATTACATCTTGCTCTAATTCTAGTTTCTCGCGGAGACAATGATTGTTAACAGCATTTTCAAAACCGAATCTTTCTCGGTTGATATTTTTTTGTTTATAATGTAGAAAGAACCTAACGAGGAAAAGCAGTATTTTTGAATATAAAAATTGATGAATAAAATAAAAATTTATGAATAAGATATAAATATTTGATTAATTTATTATATTTATAAGTATATGAATAATTTATGAATAAATTAATGAATAAACTAAAATTTTGTTTCATTTGGTTACACTATTACTCTTTGATTGTTGCCTCCACTTGAAAAGTACGTGTGAAAAGTAAAACGTAAAACCAATCGATTTCGACCTTGTCTGACCTCGAAAAGACAGGTTTTTGGCTGCTAACTTTCGTGTTTATTGTCAACCATTGCTGCTAAATTAACGTACAGAAATGTTATGCTTTCGTTGTTCGTACAGAAATGTTATGCTTCCGAAACATTATTTTCGATTATTCTGTCTGTTATTTTCCGATAAATTTATTAGACAGAATTTAAATATTCGACAGGCGTTCAATCTATCGCACCCGAAGTGATAGAAAATAGCTGTAAACGTGGCACCTTGCTTGTGAACTAAAAATTTCTAATTCTTAGTTACAGGGAGAGCCGGGTATGAGCAGAATCAAACTTAATAGACTGAACAACCCCACCCATCTAGGAAGCTCCGAAAACAAAAACCAGTCTGAGCACGTTTTTCGCCCTCTCATGGTGGGAAGGATAGGTAAAAGCCAATTGCGGCTGTAGGCACGGTACATCGTGTTCACCACTCCAAGGCGACAATTCTGTACACTTGACTATTACCCTGCCATCACCAGGTTTTCAATAAGATCCCAGTAGTGCATCAGGAGCTTCCTGGCTTGTGTTACGGCGGGACCAGAATGCATACTACCAAAGTCTGTACTGCCATCCTCCTTGTGCATTGAATGATATTTTTGCTGATGATCAATTGAGTTTTCGTTTTTCCAAAAGGATTAATTTTTAACGACTCAAAAAATCTATAAAATTTTATTGTACTTTTTAAGTAATCTAAACTTTGGCTTTATATACAAACTGAAAAATACAAGAAGAGTTTACTTAACGAGATTGTTTTTTCCTATTTTTAATTTCTGTTAATGCTTCAATCACTATTAGAAATGTCGATATTGGCATTGAGTTCTGTCGGAACGGCGACGAAGTTACTTGGCACAAGTCCCGCTAAACCATTCATCTCGCCGTAGAAAAAGCCGTCTGCTCTTACATCACCATAAGTCGTGATGACGTCACCCTCGCAGAAGGCTAGCTCCATGTCGGGATTATCATTCGGACTCTGTTCCTCGGGGTTGTAGTCGTATGTCGCCACTTGATGCTTAACCAGAGACTTGTCGAAATCGGGCGCGTCTTTTCCAGGATTCCGAGAATGTGACTCATTTCTTGCACTGAACTCGCTTCGTCCAGGAAACAATACGGTCACCAGTTGGGACTTCAATGTGGCAGTAAAGGCCTGGACCGAAATCAAACTCGGTCTTTCCAGTTCCCTCAGAGGCACAATCGCTTGCTGGTCGTTGGATCCACACTCAATGGACTGTTTAACATTGTCAACAAATATAAGGTACCCTTGGATATGGTCGCGACTTGTGGGCGCGTTCCAAGCTACCAGAATTGACCCTACTCCCACTATTCGCACAATTTTGCAGTTTTCAGGAGGATCCAGAACTGGTAAAGTACTCACTGGAAATTCACTCAACAGTCCCGAAGTCTGGTTCAATTTCTGCGCAATTTGAGGGTACTTTGAGGACACTAAATGAAGCATTTGGGGGGATAGAGAGCCAGCATCGACATGGCGGTCGAACTGTTGGTCTACTTCGAATCTCTGAACTAGATCTCGACCTCCAGGTAAGGACAAGACAGCTTCTTTCAGAAAATTGAGTTCAGTTTCCAGCGCCTGAACATCATATACCTTGGCCTGATATTTCTTCAGCCATTTTGCAGCTTCCTGCTGACTTTGTTTTCTCACCGCGTCGACTTCCAGATTAGAATTTCTCAACTTAAGAAAGTAGTCCTCAGCTGAATCTTTCAGTTTGTCGCTGTTATTTTCAATTTTGCTCTGCAGTTCGTAAATGTCATTTGTTTTTGCGTTTATTTCGTCGGCAATTGAGCCCAAAGCTTCAAACAACTCATTGTCAGGGTCCGAAATCACTCTCTTCAAATTCTCATTCAAAACTTGGAATTCCTTCTGGAGTTGCACTTGATCTTGAATCCGGTCTTCGAAGGTGTTCAACACATCTTCTAGTTTTGCTTCTGTAGTTTCTTTATCTTTCCAAGCTTCGAAAATCAATTGAGTCCTTGCCCTCATCACCTTTTCAAGAGCTTCATAATTCTGTTTCTGGCCACGACTCAAGTCATCCAAAACTGGATCTTGATCTATGACCTTTAGAATATCTTGCATGGTCAGTTCTGTTTCCATTTGAACAGAAGCTAGCCTGTCGTTCAAACTTTGCTCGGATCCGCTTATAATGAGCTGAAGTTGAGCGTGCATGCTAGACTGAAAATTTCTCGGGCACATGAACGAAGCAAAACCACAGTCATCCAAAAATACATCGTCGACAGAAATCACACCTCGCTCTAGTCGAACTCGGTTCAGCTTCGGAACCATATTTAGCATGTACATCAACAGTCGGACTCTTACACGGCTCCGAGGGTTGCTCAATTCCATCACGTCATCTTCGTCGTCACCTTCCATGTATGTAGATATTGCACGCTTTATGGTTTGAGTTGGCGTGAACACAATATGCTCAGGCGCGTTCGTTTGAGTAGACTGGTGACGAGAGTAGAAATTGGAGTAATTGAGCACTTGTAGCGACTCGTCCTCCATCTTTTCACGATGTTGCTTCTCCGATTTCTCAATTAAGTTCAAAGTTCGCTCCAGCTCATGCATCCTTCTCACAACGTCATGGAATTTGTCAAACTCCTGCATAGGAATCGAAATGAACTCTTTACTGTTATCGAACGCTGAAAGCTCCCAATGTTTTACAGAATCCTCCAAATTTTTGTTCTCGCTTTTAAGAGAATCAATAGCAATCTCCATGTGTTTCATATCTTCAAAGTTTTTCTCAACTTTTTCTCGGAGTTTGAAATTTATTTCACGTTGCTGTGTCAAGGCTTCTGAAACTGTTGTCAGACTTTCGATTTCACCTTTTTGCTCCCTTTCATGATCTCCGACTGTTCTGAGTTGAGTTCTTAGAACCTCAATTTCATTTTGAGCGTCTTTCAACCTCCTTTTCAGCCTGACAAGCTCTGTATCGTCCGGATAAGCATCCTGTTCATCAGTTTGGCTTCTCTTTGAGAGTACTTTTTCAGCCGGCTTAACAACCATCGGCTCACATTGTGTCTCACTGTCGCTTACCAATTTGTTCATACTTTCTAAGGTGTGATTCAAGTTCAAAATTTCTGCATCCTTGGCGTGCAAAGTTTCACTCAAACCCGCAGCAAGTTGTTCCCGCTCATGCAAAGTTGCATTTAAGCTTTGCATCATATTTTCAAGCTGTGTCTTTTCATTTTCGGACGCTTCCAGTTTTTCTTCAAGTTCGACCATTTGATCGACAAATGATTTTTCGAACTCATTTCTAGCTTCCAACGCAGCTTTAAGTTGTGATATTTCAGTCCGCGAAACAGTTTCATCCGCGCTTTTTCGTTTCAATTCTTTCTCCATCGCTTTCAAATTGTTCCTCAAAATCCCGTTCTGGCGTTTCAGATTGTCTACTTCTGTTTTCAGTTCTTGCTCTCTTGCTTTTTGAACCGCGTTTTGCTCTGTCACAATTTTTTTCAAGCCTTCCAACTTCTGCACTCCCCTTTCCATTTTCTCCTCTAAATCTTTAGCGGTCTTCCGCTCCTTTTCCAGATCAGTTTTCGCGGCAGCTAATTCGTCCTGAAGATTTTTGATGGCTGTATCGTTGTCCCATACTTGCTTCCGTGCATTCGAATGTTCCGACTCCTCATTACGTAACCTCTTGCGTAAGTCCAGCACCTGTTCCTCTAACTCGTTCACCTCCTGACGTTTTTTCTGCTCCTCTTCCGTTTTGCTCGCCAATTTCGACCTCAGAGACTGTTCACGTGAGATCATAGTGTCGATCTGAGCCCGAAGCTCACTCGCCGTTTCCTCTAACTCGGCAATCTGAAAAACGCTCCTCAGAAGTGAAACCTTAGTTTTCATTAAAGCTAGAATCTCTTTGAGTAAACAGTAATAAAGGCACTGAAATATAATGACAATTATGGGTTTTTCTACCCGGACTCGACTAATCCAAATTGCAAGAGTAACCTGTTACCGTACAAGCAGCACCAGGGGGCAGATCTAAAATTTTCGCATCTTCTGTCGTTTTTGGGAACTTTATGGGAAGTTTTGATCAAATAATTGTATGTTTTTGGCGCGCGTTTTCCCTCAAAATTACTATAAAATGGCGCCCAATGCGCCTCAAGAAAAATTTCAGGGTCGGTCGGCCTGAAATGGATGTCGTAAAATAGTAAAAGAGGAGAAAAAAGGCGTCCAACCCCCTCCCTAAATCGGCCCCTGAGTAGCACAAAACATTCCCATCATAATATTTGTTGCATCAAAAAACAATCGGTTTTTTTATTAACAATTTTTCGAATTTTTTTGATTAAAAAAATGTTTCTGTTTCTTAGTTTCTGTTGCGAAAAAAAAATTAAAATCCTAAGTGGGCCTTACCTATTTACTAGTTAAATGAAGATAGTTTTATTCAAATTTTCCTAAAATTGAGCAAGTCAGAATAGATATTTACCATTCATACTAAATTGACCGTTCTGTGAACAAAATTATTTACGGGTACAAAAGTCTAGCACACGATTGCAAAACTCTTGTTTATCCCAAGGGCAACAAGATTTCATATTTTTAAACAAAAATGTATCATAGCCAACAGCTTTTTTTCCTAGACAAGAGTAATTTTCTATTCAATTAGCGAATTTGCGAAAAAAAACAAGCTGTACAATGTTCCACTTATTCATATTTTAGGAAATTTTAAAGCTCAGTTGAAGCAGATTTACTCCTAAAACAACTAGCTGAAAAAAGGATTCGGGAAAAAATTTTTCAAGGAAAAAAATAGCTAGCCTTAAGGCTCATCAAATTTTTAGAACAATTTATGATTGAAGTTTTTTGATAACATTAACACAACGTGAGAAAACTGGATCATAAATACTTTTTTTTTATTTCGCGCTGAAATCTAATTCCACTTTCGAAACTCGAAATTTTTTGGAACCTTAACATATTGCCAATCGACAGTGGTGTTTGCTTTCCTTTCAACAAAGGCAATAAACTGAACTTAAAAAGAAATTCAAAATCAATCTGCAAAAACGTAAATTTAAGCCTGAACAAACTTTCAGAGTTCCAGAAAAAAATATATATTAGAGTCTGAAATACGTTCATCGGTTCTAAAAAATTTTCAGTTTTCGAACGAGATCTTTAAATTTTTCTTGATGCCTCCATTTTTCAACAATGCGTCACTTTGCTATGGAAAACCATGACTGTAAAATTCGAGAGCTACGTACTCGAAATAAATATTCGGGAAGAATATGATTGCTGAATGATTTTTAAGGCATAGTAATGATGCAACCCTTTCTGGGCTTTACTACCTGGTCGCGATGCTGGAACACCTGTGAACTTGCATTCCTTCCGTCTGAAACCGCTCTTGATTGGTTGTTTCTAATCTGATGCAAGTGATTATGTAATCTCTCTGCTGATTGGCCATTCTCGCCCGATTCCTCTTTCGTTGCCAATCGGTTCTCAATGCCGTTGATTTTAACCATTATTGCGTCCAATTCCTAATTAATTATAACCCATAATTACTGAATAGTTAAAAATGAAATCAATTTCAGGTAATGTGCCAACAATACGAGTAGAAAAACATAAACGTATGTTGAATGTGAATGCTTAATATCTTCAACGTTTAAGTAAGCTACTTTTTCACTTTGCTAAAGAAAAAAAAAGCAAGCTACTTATGCTCATTATAAAATATTTGAGAGCGAAAAGAAAGTAAATTTGGCAAGATTTTGAACACCATGTGAAAAATGATGATTTGAACAAATTTGATTGCTATAAATTTTAGTTTGATGGTTTTGTTACTTTGTGGAGTTTGTACAATCAGATTATAAAAGCAACGTCAAAACAAAATAACGTGCTTCTTGATTCTAGACTTAAGCAGCTGGACAAAAAAAATAGCCTCAATTAACATGAGTGAAGCACGCGATGAATTAAAGTGCCAGAATTTAATTCAAAAACAATTTTTACGTCATCGATTTATATGCAACAAGCGTATCCAGCTGCTCTGCAAGATCACATAATGCTCAGACAACAATCATCATTGCAAAAATCTTACAAAAGTTTCAAATATTTTCTATAAAATTTATTCTCTGAACTTTCTGCCGGCGTTTCATTTCTTGTGCACGCAGGAAGGGTGGAACTTAAGCTTCTAAAACTACGTTAAAATCATAAATTCTGTTTCAATTCCGACAAAACAAATTCGAGTCTTATTGGACGTTTTTTGGTCTAAATGGGCAGACGGTTTACCTTGAGAGGAGAAGCAATCATTTGGTACTTCGCATTATAATGAGTAATAGTAAAAATCTATCAATGACAAGGTTGCCGGCTTTGAAAACCTTATAAAAAGCCAGCTACGAAATCCAATGGTTATGAAAATAAACTTTCAGTTTTGTGAAAGTTTTTGGTGAAGGAACACCTTCGTAGAAATAAGAAAGTGTCTGCCCTCAAACAACTTTCAAAATCTGCCCTCACAAGCAATATGAAGAACTGTACAATATCGTTTGCTTGAAGTGACGTATTTTTTGCAAAAGTTTGAGGTAAAATATCTTTCTAACTTTGGGCTCAAGACAACAATAAGTTTCGGGTGATTAAAAAAATTCCGGCAAAAACGGCTTGTAAAAAGTCGAAATTGTCTAGAGAAAATAAAACCACCTCAAGCAAATATTCAGTATCTTTCTTCCAAAATCGGAACAATCACAAGTTAATGAGGCTTGTTATAGTGCTTTTCTTTCGAATTTTCTGTGAATTTTCTGTGCTTCTTGTACAGCAGCTGGCTATTCTTGTTGTTCCGACATCCGAAGAAAGTACGGAATATCTATGCTTGCAGAGGTTTTTTATATTCAGTCAATTATCGACTTTTTAACTCAGCATTTTGGCAGTTTCTGGCGTTGTTGCCTGGAGTTAAAATAAATTTAGAAATTTCATTTTTCTTGAAGTTAAGGATGTTTGAAAATTGCTAACTTGACCAATTTGGGACAATTAACGCGCGATAAATTGCGTTTTTAAAACATGCGTAAGCGGCAGCTCGAAAATGAATTGAGGCCAGCAAGTATGTTTTATTAAAACAATACGAGACGCTAAATAAACGCTTTGGATTTTACATATTGTGTGGGCTATGAAGTTACGAAAAAATTTTTTGCTCGAGCTAGAATGATATTCTAAAAAAAAATTAAGTGTATTTAATTATTTGGCTAATAATCAAACTTTCTTCACAGCTCCAAGATAAAAAGGGGCACATAAAAAACAAATGGATGATCTGAATAGAAAAAAGTATAATTTTTGGAAATTTTCTTAAATCACAATTTCATTTCCGTTTCATTTTCAGTTCATATCACGACTAGAAAGACTTGACAATACAAGAATTTGACGCAGGGGCGGATCTAGGATTTTCTCGAGGGGGGGGGGGGGGCGGATTTTCAAAAAATTTTGACGACCTTTTTTTTTTTTTTTTAGGTCGACCAAATTGATTTTGATTTTTCGCGCTCTCCCAAAGCACTATTTTGCCCCTATTTTTGGAAGAACAGTCAAAAAAGCCGTTTTTGGGCACTTTTTTGAAAAATTTTGACAAAAAAATGCGTTTTTTTGGCGCGCGCTCCCCCTCAAAAATAGCATATATTGGCGCCGAAGGCGCCTTTAGAAAAATTTTAGGGTCGGTCGGCCAAAAATGGATTTCTGAAAAAGTATCAAAGGGGGGACCCTTTGGGTCGGCAGGGGGTCAAATCCCTGAGGGGGGGCGTCCGCCCCCCCCTAAATCCGCCCCTGATTTGACGACTACGTCCCACCACGTTTTAGCGTATTGCTGTTGAGCCTTTGAAATTTTAGACTAACCTCATTATGCTGTAGCAATTCGTCATCCAATTCTTGAATCCTCAAGTCGTTGAACAGAGTTGCATCTTTATTCTTCAGTGCCGTCAATTGGTCTCGCAGCCTCTGCTTCGCTAAAAGGAAATGGATGTGTTTCAAAGAGACCAGTTGGAGCTCAGATTTCATACACAGAGGCGAAGCGGAGCTTCGCATCACTTGAGATACCACAAAAATAGCATTGCAAGCTAACAGACAGGAAAGCAAAGAGAGCCAGAGTCCAAAGAAAACGGAAAAACTCTCGGAAAAATCACAATTAAAAAACTTCAAAAAGTTGTCTGATATGATGTTATATTTGCGGAAAAAACGTCCAGAAACACAATCGACGGCGTTTAACGAAATATCAAAAACAAATATCAAGCGAAAATGAAATTGTAGTCTTGAAAAATTTTGAACTATAATTTATTTTCTGAAAACTTTAATGTTTTGTGCGATCCGAGGGAAAGTATACAAATTATGGTTCCATCGAACGGCCCAAAATTAGGTTAGTAAGCCAAAAAATATATAAGTCGAAATCTTGTAGACCAAATTTTTTTAAACGAAATCAAAAAAGAAAATATACGAAGTCAAGGCTAGTAGAATTACAAGGTGCAGGAGTAAATGAAAACATAAAAAGCAACTACAATGAAAACTGCAAACAGCAAAAAATTGTAAGATGTGGCAAAAAAGCCGACAAATAATAAGCCTACAATTTTTTGAAACGGATTCAATCGGGTTTGAAAAAAGGGTCCTGGTCAGATTTGATAAGACCCTTGCAGTCCCAGGCGTATTCGATGCCTCCAGACTAAGTGCGTTGGAGACGTTTGAAAAGTTGAATTAATTATGAACCAAAATACCAAGTTATTCTATTAAATAAGTTTTTAACCCGAAAAGAGTCTATATTCCGATTTGATAACGCTTGCTAATCGCAAGCGTAAAAATACATTATATCAACGTAAACCTCTTCCGCTGTCATAATAATCAGACGATAGTTTTGTGATAAAACTAACCCAATTTGAAAAAAAATGGATCAAAAAGCATCTTTTTTGGAAAAAATTCATAAAATGAAAACGTATTTGAATTTCAGTCGATAACCATTTTTGAGTTACCAGAATTCGTAATTCGAGCTTCAAAATAAATCGATAGACAAACCACCAATGTATAAAAATGAGCAATTTTCCCTAAGAAAACACACGACCAAATTATGTGTAAAGTTACTTCGTTTCTTAACAATAAGTAATACTACTAGTACTTGAACTAATAATCGCTTTTCACAGCAACTATTCACCAATAATAGATCTACAAAACAAACAAGCATGCTATGATTTCCACAGAAATTTCTGCCTTGGAAGGGAGTTTCACAGATTATCCAGGGTATTTCAAAGACTAGCCTGTTTCTAGAGAGTGCATTCTGGCAATGGCCCTCCTTCCTTCAGTCTCCAGATTCACCCTCTCCTCGACCGCCACATTCCAGTCAACCACACCATCTCCTTCCTCCTCCTTTGGGCGATAAAAAAACTGAAACTTGTTTAAACAAAATTACGAATTAGAAATACAAATTTTACCCCTGAGAAGACCATAGCACTCAAATTTTGGGACCATCTATCTTATTCCTTATGCAATGAAAAACGAAAACTGATTTTTTAAACCAAAAATGTGTATGAACCTGAAACGCGACTTGCAATTACTTTGTTGTAGCTAATTCTAAATTAAAACTATTAAAAAGAATAAGGATTTAAGATGAATTAGTCGGTAAGTTAAAACATTAAAACAATGAGAGATCATTCTCTCCGCCGGAGAGAATGGCCAATGAAGGTCATATCTGAGTGACCAGTTAATTAAACTAATATGTTTTGCAGTAATTGCAAAACATGATGTAAATCACAACATTCCCCTAAGCAGGAAAAATTTTTAAATTACGAATAAAGTAATGCACAACGACTAACTAAGTCTGACTCCTTTCTCCCCCTTTAAGGACGAGGAAAAGAAAAATTAAAGCGCCGTAAATGAGGAACTGACACTAACTAAAGCGCCCCTATGGGATTAAATACAGCAACTATAACTGTGAGAATGATTATCCGGATTCCGACGGATAAGGGCTAGGTTAAGATAAGTTTAAATGTGATGAAGTTGTCATCAAGTTTTATGGGTGGAGCCCTGATTTGCGATACACAAACTAGAGGGAAGTCGACTTAGAGAAATTATGAGAGCACAAGATGATGTTTTCCTTTACTGGACAAAGCACTCAAGTCCACAGATCAACGTTTGATACCTTAAGATTAGCACCGGTTTATAAGGTAATATGTGCTCCTTGATATGCCAATATAGCAGATTAGGAGGCTTCTTGAACGTTCTCTACGGCATCGATAAAATAACGTTGACCATAAAATTTTGGTGGGCCGACATTTCTACTAGAACGGCGGATGGTAGGAGGAATTTTACCGGATAAGATGGTAGGATTGGGAGGTATAGCGCACTCGTCAGTTGAGTCGCTTATCTCGTACACCGGGAAATCTGTAGTTGAGCTGTTATCCGTTGGATTACACTCGTCTTGCAGGTCCTGTTGTTCGACGGTGTCTTTGTGCCCTCCCTGGTTCACGGTTCTCTGTTCCGCAGTACTAGGTGTTCGGCAGGCGGGTATTATACTTATTGGGCACTCGTAAGATTGGTCCATAGATTGTTCTCTGTTTGGGTCAATGTCGTTTTCTAAAATCTCAGATTTTATTTCAGGATTGGTTACAGCGGAATTAGAATTATTTCCGATTGGGAGGTGAGGTGTAAGTGAGTCTGAAATAAAGCGCTCTCTGGCTACGTCTCTACAAGGGAAACCGCCCGCTACCCATTCCCATTCACTAGTATCCGAAATATCCGAAGGAATTAGCATAGATTCATCCGAAGCAAGGTAACCTGGAGGAGTTGATGACTTCTTTGAGTGGCGTGTTTGTCTTCTTGTAGATTTGTGTGATGGCCCTGATATGCGTGTCCTAGTTAAGTTGTCGGATGAGGTCGGATCCAATTGTCTGGTCCTTTTATTCGTTGGCTTTTTTGTTCTTGGTTTCCGTGTTATGCCTTCCTGTTTCTGACCTACTTCAACATTAGGATTAGGAAAATACGGGAATGAAATGTTTCCTTTAAAAGGTCTGATTTTATTTGAGGTAGAAGAAGGAATCGCAATGTCGGATTTTCGTATTATTTTTTTGTCGGACAACTCTACTGTCGAAGTAGATGAATTTATAATTCTTTTATTTAGTTCCTTATAGAAACAGTCTCGGTTGATGTTACCGTTAGTTTTCCGAAGGATTTTACCTTTGAATGGACTTTTGATTGGTAGTCTATTGGAGGTGATTTTCGAGGATGAAGCATAGTCTGTGTCGTAGCCTTTTTCAGTCGAGTTTTGGTTCTTCTTCGCTATCAAATCGTCCTTGTAGCCGTCCTCTAGTCTATCATCCGCGTTCCAATCCTTAGCTCGTTCCTTAGACAGTATTGATTTCCCTTTGTCTAAAATTCCAAATGAGGGTTTACCAGAAGCTAATTGTTTCCAAATAGTATTTGGTTTTCTGTTATAGTGAATCTCGAAGGGTGAACATTTAATTTTTGATTGATAGGTAGAGCGTAAATTCCAGATGATTTTTGAAACGGCATTTTGCAGTGTACATTTATGATGTTCTTTTGAAATAGCCAGTAGTTTGACTTTCACTTTGTACTAATTTTTCGACTAATCCGTTGGAACGATGGTCGCCTACTGTACAAAAGATTATTTTGATGTTGGTGGAATCGCAGAATAATTTAAAGTCTTGACTTGTAAAGCAAGTAGCATGATCTACCCTTATAGAATAAGGTATCCCGTGTAAGAATATGTAGTCTTGTAAAAATTCTATAACTGTTTTTAAAGAAGTAGACGATGTAATTTTTGCCGACGGAAATTTAGAAAATCTGTCAATGCAAAGTAAAATGTATTTATTTGACCCCCAATAGGAATCCAAAGGACCAGCGAAATCTAAATTAAGTTCTTCGTTTGGTTCCGATAATGGAAGAAGTTCACTAATTTGTGAATTAGGGATAACAGTTTTCAAATTCTTACCCGCCGATGTACACTCTGAGCAATTTATTCCGTGAAAGTAAATTTGCCTGTTAATATGGGGCCACTAGATGTATTGAGCCGAATATTTCATTCCGAATTGACCTGGATGTGTTTCGTGAAGGGTCTTCATCATCGCGTTTCGTAAGGTAAATGGAATAACGAGTTTGCCGTCCATGTAAAGTAATCCGTCGGATTCGTGTAGGTCTCGGGTGAAATGTTTGAAATACGGAGAATCTGCATTAATCTTCTCCACCTTATTTTGAAGTGCTTTAACAATTGGACTTAACATGGGATCGTCTTCTGTCAAGAGAGCTACTAACTTGGCGTTAAATAAAATATTTAAATCCAAGGGTCGATCCGGCAACTTCAAATTTTCACGATATTTTTAACGAGATTAGCATGATCTGGTAAGAGCCGGAAGTCTAAATCTACAGAAATACCGGAAGTGGTGGAATTAATTACAATATTCTTATTATTCATATTAACAGTATCTACAATTTTTTTATCTACAGGTGAATTAGTAAAACTACGATTAAAGATTAAAAAATAAAAAAATGCGGAGTTAGAAATGGAAATAATTAAAGTATTTGTATTAGAATAATCCGTTGGAATGCAATTTGAGGTACAAAATTCTGTTCTTTTGTGATTAAATGAACAAATTGGAAAAGACGAGTTAATTAGTTTTAATACTGCTGCTATTAGGTAATTACGTAATAAAGCGTAATCGGAATTTTCCAGATTAGAACCAATGGCTGAACAGGTAGTTCTTAGTTTCTCAGACGGATTTAATGATTTATTAATCTTATTAATATTTGCTACTACGAATTCCTCGTCATAATGTGATATTGGAAGAGCTTTTCCGGATGGAATTCTAGAAATAAGGTCAGTGAAGCCCATATCTTTTCCTGCAATATGTTTGATTGAGAAATTAAAAGGTAATAATCTGTCTACCCATCTTGTTAATCTACTGTGATAAGTTTTGTTTCCGTGGTTTGGTGATAGGGCGGATAATAAAGCGTTGTGATCAGTAATTACTTCGAAATCTGATCCGTAAAGGTAGTTCTTATAATGTTCGAGAGCCCTTACAACCCCTAGTAGTTCGAGCTCGTTCGTAGAATATTTAGACTCGTGTGGGTTTAAAAAGCGTGAAGCAAATGAGATTGTTTTCCAATCGTTCCCGTGGAGTTGTTCGAGCGAAGCTCCGAGTCCATTATGTGACGCGTCAGTTTTTACTCTAGTTTTGCGTTTTACGTCGAAATGGGTATTCTCTGTTAGGTTTACGATTTCTTCTTTAATTTTTTCAAAAGCTTTTGTATGGTCGTCATTCGATTGGAATATTGATTTCTTATTTAGGAGCGGTCGGAGTGGGCTTCCTAAGGATGCTAGATTTGGGACGAATTTAATGTATTGGTTTATAGAACCAAAAAATGATCGTAGTTCTTTCAAATTCTTCGGAATAGGTAGATCTTTTATGGCTTTCGATTTGTCGAATAACGGGGTAATTCCTGATTTAGAGATTTTGAATCCCAACCATTCTATTTCTTTTTGAAAGAATTTACATTTTGACCATTTTACAGCGAAGTTATATTCGTCAAGGGTAGATAAAATTTTTAACACAATATTCTTGTGGTCTAAGAATGTTCCTTTGGAAGAGATTAAAATGTCGTCTAAGTAACAGTTAGTAAATGGGATTGAACCTAACGTAGAGTCCATTACTCTTTGAAATTCGTTAGGCATATCCCCTAGGCCGTAAAAACCAGTTAAGAATTGGTAGGTACCCGTAATATCACCGCCCACGATACTGAAGTTACATTGGTTGTCTAGCGAAATCTAAACGGAAATGTAAAGTAATCCGTCGGTTTCGTGTAGGTCTCGGGTGAAATGTTTGAAATACGGAGAATCTGCATTAATCTTCTCCACCTTATTTTGAAGTGCTTTAACAATTGGACTTAACATGGGATTGTCTTCTGTCAAGAGAGCTACTAACTTGGCGTTAAATAAAATATTTAAATCCAAGGGTCGATCCGGCAACTTCAAATTTTCACGGTATTTTTAACGAGATTAGCATGATCTGGTAAGAGCCGGAAGTCTAAATCTACAGAAATACCGGAAGTGGTGGAATTAATTACAATATTCTTATTATTCATATTAACAGTATCTACAATTTTTTTATCAACAGGTGAATTAATAAAACTACGATTAAAGATTAAAAAATAAAAAAATGCGGAGTTAGAAATGGAAATAATTAAAGTATTTGTATTAGAATAATCCGTTGGAATGCAATTTGAGGTACAAAATTCTGTTCTTTTGTGATTAAATGAACAAATTGGAAAAGACGAGTTAATAAGTTTTAATACTGCTGCTATTAGGTAATTACGTAATAAAGCGTAATCGGAATTTTCCAGATTAGAACCAATGGCTGAACAGGTAGTTCTTAGTTTCTCAGACGGATTTAATGATTTATTAATCTTATTTATATTTGCTACTACGAATTCCTCGTCATAATGTGATATTGGAAGAGCTTTTCCGGATGGAATTCTAGAAATAAGGTCAGTGAAGCCCATATCTTTTCCTGCAATATGTTTGATTGAGAAATTAAAAGGTAATAATCTGTCTACCCATCTTGTTAATCTACTGTGATAAGTTTTGTTTCCGTGGTTTGGTGATAGGGCGGATAATAAAGCGTTGTGATCAGTAATTACTTCGAAATCTGATCCGTAAAGGTAGTTCTTATAATGTTCGAGAGCCCATACAACCCCTAGTAGTTCGAGCTCGTTCGTAGAATATTTAGACTCGTGTGGGTTTAAAAAGCGTGAAGCAAATGAGATTGTTTTCCAATCGTTCCCGTGGAGTTGTTCGAGCGAAGCTCCGAGTCCATTATGTGACGCGTCAGTTTTTACTCTAGTTTTGCGTTTTACGTCGAAATGGGTATTCTCTGTTAGGTTTACGATTTCTTCTTTAATTTTTTCAAAAGCTTTTGTATGGTCGTCATTCGATTGGAATATTGATTTCTTATTTAGGAGCGGTCGGAGTGGGCTTCCTAAGGATGCTAGATTTGGGACGAATTTAATGTATTGGTTTATAGAACCAAAAAATGATCGTAGTTCTTTCAAATTCTTCGGAATAGGTAGATCTTTTATGGCTTTCGATTTGTCGAATAACGGGGTAATTCCTGATTTAGAGATTTTGAATCCCAACCATTCTATTTCTTTTTGAAAGAATTTACATTTTGACCATTTTACAGCGAAGTTATATTCGTCAAGGGTAGATAAAATTTTTAACACAATATTCTTGTGGTCTAAGAATGTTCCTTTGGAAGAGATTAAAATGTCGTCTAAGTAACAGTTAGTAAATGGGATTGAACCTAACGTAGAGTCCATTACTCTTTGAAATTCGTTAGGCATATCCCCTAGGCCGTAAAAACCAGTTAAGAATTGGTAGGTACCCGTAATATCACCGCCCACGATACTGAAGTTACATTGGTTGCTAGTAAATTTATCTAGTGCTAACTGGCTGTACGCGTTTTTTAAGTCTAAGTTAGTAAACCACACTTCTCCAACGGAATCATTAGTAATTTGTGCCGCGACATTGTCTACCAGTTCGTGAATGTTTGGCATTTGATATTTGTTCTTGTAAATCTGTTTGTTTATGAACTTGGAATCTAAGGCTAACTTGATGGATTTGTCTTTTTTACAAGTGATGACTATTGGGCTAATAAATCTGTCTTCATCGCAATTTTCTAATTTTTTAATATGTCATTCTGCTTTTAGTCTATTGAGTTCTGTCTTTACAGCGTCCAGTAAGTGAAGGGGGACTCGTCTTCCCTTTAGTTGGATTGGTTTTAAGGGTTCGTGAAAATGGGTGATTTTCATCTGATTTTTAATTTTTCCGATCGGAAGGAATAAATTTTTGAATGATTTTGATATATTTAGAGTTTCCCTATCTTGGTTTGTTTGAGAGATGGAATTTATTGACTTACATTGCTTGTTAAACTGGAAATGTGGGACGTGTTTCTGAGAGACTTCTATCCCCACTTTTGGAAGGTTGTCATTTCCTAAGATATTTCTCTCATGTCCTTCGGTTAGGAAGAATTGACAGTCGTTGTCTGACCAACCATTTGAAAATATCGGGAGCTTCACCTTTCCAGTGATGTTTATGGCATTATCTGTGAATCCACAGTAGAGGTCTCTAGTTGTCTTATCCACCTGATAAATTTTCAATTAAGGCTCGCGTAACTTTAATTCGTGTAGTACGTTTTTCTTAAGGAAGCTCACCGGGCTAGCTGGATCCACTTGAATGTTTAAAATTACTTGGTTTTCTTTTCCGAGTCCAATGTTCAATAATTTCTTCAATTCTTTTCCATCATTGTCAAAAATCGTAGTTACATTTAGTACAGAATAATCGTCGTTTTCACTTTGTCCAGATTCCGACCATGCGTTTATGACGCCACAACATTCTCTATCCGTGTGGTCAGTATTTACATCCGGAATATCCGACGGATTAAAATCTGTATTATCTACAATTTGAGTATTTACAATGTTTACATTTTTACGACGAGATCTACAGAGTCTGGTGAAATGCCCTTTGAATTTACAAGTAGTACAAGTCGTGTCCTTTGCTGGGCAAACTGCTAAGTGTCCTTTTGAGAATGATCCGCCACACTTCATACAGTTGTTACTTCTTTCGATGTTAAGGGTTGGTTCTCTTTTGACATTAAAATGGTTGTTTGGTTTATGTACGGATGATCCGTTGGATTTAAAATTGTTAGTTAACTTCAAGTGATTTAAAATTCCTTTTTCGTCTATGAGTGCTACATTTAGTGCTTCGCGTGGAGGGAGGGTTTCTGTTAACAATTTCCTTTGGATGTCGTAGTTTTTCATATTATTTATGAAAATATCTCTTATCCACTCTTCTTCTCCTGCGGTTATGTCACACTTTTTTGCCATTTCAGCTAAGGCACCCCAAAATTGTTCGAGGGATTCTCTGTCACGTTGTTTTCTATTTAACAGTTTATGTCGTTCAAATGTGACATTTGTCTTTCTTACGAAAGCGATCGCTAGGAACTCCCAGAATTCTTTAAAAGAAATTTGTAAAACTTTCACCTTGGTAAATTTTTGTCCGAAGATCCTTTTTCCTTCGTTTCCCAGTGCTAGATATAAGACCGAACGTAATTTTTTGTCGGCTTCTTCTATTCGCATTCCGTTAAATTTCTTGGTTTCAGTTTTTATCGATGCTGCTTCATCTTCGTCGTATCGTCTTTGTTCTTGAGTATTTCTCTCCATTCTCGAGCGTCTTTGAGCATCTGTTTCACCGTCCGTTGAGTTTTCCAAATTTGAAGGTAATGGGTGTTGTCTCTCCAACGGATTGAGTAGATTTTCTATGTCTATGTTTTCTTTAGCAATTATAGCTAATTGAAACAGATCACTCCAGTCTTCCCATGGAATGGGGGGTCTACCGTATGGTTTTGCCAAAAAGGAGGTATTCCTCTCACGTTAGATTCGTTAGTTGACTGCGCCATGATAAAATGTTACTTTGTTGTAGCTAATTCTAAATTAAAACTATTAAAAAGAATAAGGATTTAAGATGAATTAGTCGGCAAGTTAAAACATTAAAACAATGAGAGATCATTCTCTCCGCCGGAGAGAATGGCCAATGAAGGTCATATCTGAGTGACCAGTTAATTAAACTAATATGTTTTGCAGTAATTGCAAAACATGATGTAAATCACAACAAAATACAAATTTTACCCCTGAGAAGACCATAGCACTCAAATTTTGGGACCATCTATCTTATTCCTAATGCAATGAAAAACGAAAACTGATTTTTTAACCAAAAATGTGTATGAACCTGAAACGCGACTTGCAATTCTGACAAGACAATAGCGCTCAAAGTTTGGGATGAGCCTCGGTTCCATGCTAATTTAATTTGTCAATTAAGCCGAACTGCTGCACAAAACAGAAAAGGTACTAGACAAAAGAGCGATATGTTTGCAAATATTATCCTATTGAAGTGTCAGAATGTGTCGTGTGCTAGACAAAAAAATAAGTTTTTACTCTCACAACTTATCAATATTAAAGTGATTTCTTAGACGTCAAATACTTGGTAACTTCGCAGGCTTGTCCCAAAATATTACACCATAATTAATAGACTACGTGTGATATTTTGCTTCGCACGATTACTTGTCCCAAAAAAATTACACTATAATTTATGGGTTTAGGAATTTAGACGACAGGAAATTAGACGATCAGAAAATAACGGAATTTTGACAATAACTTGCGTGCAAATTGAGTGAATTTTGTTTACAGACTTAAACTATCTTTTGGCTGAGTAAATACTGGTTGTCCGTAAATTCCGTTTCTTTACGGTCGTCTAATTTCTTGTCGTCTAATTTCCTAGGCCCCATATCTTATAGATGGTCTAATGGATACCTGAAGCCTGCTCTTCTCCAGTTGTGCGTTGATCTGCTCCACTCTCTGGGTGATGTCTTTCATCTCCTCTTGCGTGTCCATTAGTCCCCTCCAACACTCCCCCTTCACTCTCTCGTGCTCACTCAACTGCTCATCCGCCCCACACAACTCAGCTGAACACAAACCACCTCAATGTCAATACAAATCGTTCAATCTCATTCAGGTTATAAGCGAGCATGAGTTTTTTGGAAAAAAAACTCGAGCTTCAAAGAAGAAACTCTTTGAGATCATCCAATAGTTTAAGAATTTCTTGGAAAGATCAAAACAGCAATTTAAGCAAATGACCACCAGAGAATTTCGATATCACTCAATTTTTAATACTTAGAATAATATAATGTAAGAGGCACGCTCATGTAAGAATATATATGGGAGAGATGAAAATCAATTTTTTAATTCAGAAAAAAATTGGTATAATTTGTCACGCGTCGAATTCGACCAGAAAATTTTTTTCCCAAACTAAAAAAGTCATCTTTCCTGCTGTATATTCTTACTTCACCGTGCCTTTTACAGTCTATTATTATAAATATTAAAAATTGAGTGATATTGAAATTCTCGGATGGTCATTTGCTTAAATTTAAATTGTTGTCTTTCCAAGAAATTCTCAAACTATTGGATGATCTCAAACAGGTTCAGGTGATTTTCTTTTTCTTCGATGCTCAAGTTCTTTTCCCAAAAAACTCATGCTCGCTCAGGCGCGGATCTAGGAATTTATCGAGGAAGGGGGTGGATTTTCAAAAAAAATTTGAAAATTTTGTCGACTTTTTTTTTAGGTTGACCAAATTGATTTTCTGATCTCTCCCCAACCACCATAAAGACCTTAATTTGATCAAATTTTCTGCGCGGCAGGCAAATCTTTAGAGCGCTTTTAGGCACTTTATTAGGCACACTAAATAAGGCCTTTTTCGGCACTTTTTGGAAAGTTTCGACCAAAAAATCGCGTTTTTTCGGCGCGCGCTGCCCCCTCAAAATTAGTATAGATTAGCGCCTAAGGCGCCTTAAGAAACATTTTAAGGTCAGTCAGCCAAAAGTGGATATCTCAAAATAGTACAAAGGGGACTCTTTGGGTCGGCAGGGGGTCGAATCCCTGAGGAAGAGAGGCGTCCGCCCCCCCCCCCCCCCCTCCCCAAATCCGCTTATGATTATAACTATTAAAAATTGATTGATATTGAATTCTCGGATGGTCATTTGGTTAAATTGTTGTTTCGATCTTTCCAAAAAATTCTCAACTATTGGTTGATCTCAAACAGATTCAGGTGATTTTCTTTTTCTTCGAAGCTCAAGTTTTTTTCCCAAAAGAACTCATGCTCGCTTAAAAGTCGAATGAGATTAAACTATTTAGCGTTCTTTTGGTGAGTCCAGGAATATTCTTACAAGCCCAAATGTTACTTCTGAAGTCCATACTTCAGAAATTAAAAAATCTCAATGCTTTTAAATCTTTTCCAGCTAATTTGGGATATTGTATTGCGAAAGTGTGAGATGGTACCCTCTATGTTTTCAATCTGGTATCGAACTGATTCTTCGGCAGACAATAATTCAGTCAATTCCTCTTTCAGTGATTCGTCCTCTTTTTCCTCCTTTTCTGTTCTTTGTTTCTTCTCCTTCTGAAAACATAGAAAGAAACCATTTGAAAAGAGTTCGAATCATATGCATCATCAAATTTTGGAAAAAAAAACATGCTGGCAAAAAATGGTTCATAAAAAAAGCAGATAGTGCAACCGAAGATTTGGTTGGCCAAAAGCTTGGTTGGCGAACGCGGAAGTTTTAAAATTCTATAAAACAGAAAGATCACTATGAAAGCAGCCATTCTGGTATGATGTTTTTAGACGTAACGGAGAAAAAATTGGAAAATTTTTTAATCCATTGCTCCAAAATTTCTTTGCTTCTTACCTCAAGTTGATCAATCAAAGCAATCAAAGATTCCTTCTCTATTTGAGCATCGTCCAATAATGCATCCTTATTCTGAAGTTCCCCTTCCATTTTCTTCAACTCTATTTTCTCCTCTTGCAATTTCTGGTCGGCCGATTTTAGCTCTTCGTTCAGGTTCTGAATTGTCTTCAGACAATCTTCTTTTGCTTGCGTTACATGAGATAATTCAATTTTGGCTTCGACGTGAAATTTCTGAAGTTCTTGCCAGTTTCGCCTGATAAGAAAAGCATTATTTCTCTACGATGATTTTAAAAAACTTTTCAACTAATTGATTCATATTTCAGCGTTTAAATACCAAGTTCGTCCTTATGATCATGATCAATTTGATTCACATAACAAAACACGTCAGGTATTCTCTTGAAAAAATTAGAACCTAATCATGAGATGATGATCTCTCCTATTCAGGGGCGGATCTAGGATTTTCTCGAGGGGGGGGGGTTGATTTTCAAAAAAAGTTCGATTATTTTGAAGACCTTTTTTTAGGTCGACCAAATTGATTTTCGGAGCTCTCTTAAAGCAGTAAAAAAACGCTGTTTTAGCCAAGTTTTAGCCAGGTTTTCTGCGCCGCAGCCATGTTTTCAAAAAACAGGTCAAAAAAGCCGTTTTTGGGCACTTTTTGCAAAATTTTGCTTAAAAAAATGGCGTTTTTTTGGCACGCTATCCTCAAAGTTAGTATATATTGGCGCCAAAGGAGCCTTTAGAAAAATTTTAGGGTCCGTCACCCTAAGTGTCGGCAGGGGGTCGAATCCCTGAGGGAAGAGGGCGTCCGCCCCCCCCCCCCCCCCATCCTCCCCTGCTCCTATTTGCTAGCATGCGAAACTCACTTTTCCTGAGTTAGCTGTTGTTTCAGCTGTTCACACTCGTTGATGCTGTTGTTCAGTCTTGTCTCCATGTCTCCAAAATTGTTCACGGAGTCTGTCAAATTGCGCACCTGGCTACTCAATTCAACCACCTCTATCTGACTGGCCTCCAAGTCCTCCGATTTCCTCAGCAGGTTGTTTTCCAAATTTGATTTATCTCCTACAAAATTAAAATCGAAAAAATTTCAAATAGAAAGATCGTTCACAATTTCAAAAAAATGATAGCAAAAACCAAAAAGCGGCAAAAAAAAGCTCCAAAAAGAGCAAGAAAGTAGGCCTAGAAAAACTAAAACTAGTGTAAGATTCGAAACGTTCACAGTTATTTCCAGCAACCATGTTACTCTGCCTTATTAAACCATAAATATCACCAGCAAAGACAAAGTTTTATTCAGGAAATACAGGGTCAAACAAGGATAGCCTGTTGCTGCAAAAATAGCACAGAAAATTCCCACCCAAAAGGTGACCATAGAATCTGAACGAGACCATAGAATCTGAACGAAAGCCTAGAAAATATGTACATTCGATAGTAAATTTGAGACTACAAATATCTGACAATGATTTTTACCAAAAAGTTAATCGGAAAAGAAACAAAAAAATCAAACAAAATTTTGTAGATTTTTTCGAATATTTTTTTTTGGTTTTTTTGAGGATTTTGTTTTTCATTTTCAAAAAGGCGCTAAAATATATTAAAAGGCGCAACAATAGCTCTTCAGAAAGATTCTAAAATAGTTCTTGAAGTCTTTATTTTGGTTTTCAAGAAGCGCTTAAAGAGTCTTATTTGCGCATTACAAGCCTGATTGCTCAATTTATTCGCAATTAGACCAAAGATGAAAAAAATTACACCCGTTTTTCTCTACACTGAGGATATTCTATTCGACTCGAGACTACAAGCGCTTTAATATGATGTATCACTGCCCTTTCCGTTGATTTTTTGTGGTACCTGCTTTTGCGTGGAAAACAATAAGTATAAGAAACTAAAACACACACGCATACAAAATTCCTCGGAACAAAAATAACCCAAAGGAAAACACATTTTTTAAAAATTGAAAACGAAAAAATGAATTTGGTTGAAGCCATGGATTTTTTTGGTTTTGACTTTAAATTGAATTTTTTTTTCAATTTGACAAAACAATTAAGAACAGTTTTTTCTCGGCGAACAGTCGGCGAATTATTGATTCGGAATCCAAATTCCAATTTAAATAGCTTGAATATGTTACTAAATACCCAGTGAGCTTTTTTTATCTTAGATCAAATTTCGCGTTCAAAAGCAAAAATATCACAACTAGTGAAAACCGAGTCTTCGTGCGCATTCACAGCTCTTATTGAAATTGGTCCAAAATCCTTAAATATAATAAACAATTTTTTTTTCATAAATCTATCAAAAACTTTAAAGTTACACGCTAAAAAGTACTAGTGAATATTTTTTATCTATTATCGCACTAAAAAGATCAAATAGCTTGCTTTAATTGAATTTGGGAAGTTTTGAGCCGAATTGATTCGCTTCTTACAATAGAACGAAATATACCGTGCTTTAATTATCTGGCCTTTTTTAAATCCCCAAAACCTTGTACAAAACGATCGCAGGTAGAATATATTACAGATCAGGTATTTATTTTCGCAGTTGGTAAAAAAATTGTTAATATGGACGGCTTGTTTAAAGACAGAATTGCTCTGAAAAAAAACCAGACCACGCACAAAATTTCAGGCAGCTTCTGCGATAGTCAAATAGTAATCATTATACTAAAAAAAATTAGTACCATCAGTATCGATTGTACTTTAAATCGGCTTTTCTTGTGTAACTTCATTAAAACTGAACACATAATTTGATCACAAAAAGTCCGACTGAGATTGGAACGCAATGGAATCGGTTGTAAATCACAAGCGTTAGCTTTTATTAACATACTAGAAACGAATCCAAACAGAGTAGAGTAACCAATTGATAAGCGGTGGAATTTTAGCATTAAAAAATTTAGGAAAAACTGAATATTTTATGTTTTATTTTTTTTTCTGCATCTATTTGAAGGGTGTTTATGATGTACTGAATATTAGAATAAATTAAATGGAACGCCCCTGAACTTTTGTTAAATTTTTGGATCGAGCTAACAATATGGGTACAAATTCAACGTGTGCTCATTTCGTAAACGCGTGTTCAAGCAAACACAGAGAAGGAAAACTTTACTTCGCAAGAAAAAATGCTCTGATTACCCTTTTAGGTCGCAACAGTATTGTTATTGATGTTACTTTGTTACTTATGAAAAAATTTTGAGATTCAAAGTTTGAAAAAGTTTTTTTTTGAAAAGCCACATTTTTGAAATCCAGCTTAAACATAAATAATCTATTATCAGGAATCTGCAGACCCAGTTTGGCTAATTAAACTCCGGGAAATTTTGATTTGGTAATATAGCACAAAGCTACATCTACGTTCTACTTGTGAAAATAAAATCAAGCTAAAGTAATTTTTTCTCAACAGAGAAATTTGTTGGCGTACAGCCTTAACCACAACAGGCGCTACTTGCAAAAGAATTGGCTAATCTTCCTAACCTAGAAAAATGGTTGAATCAACTGAATTACCTGCTAGTTCGTTCAATTGTTTCTGGTAATCATCCAGCTTTTCATTTTTCTCTAATATTTCTTTTTCATAATGCAGAGCTGCCTTTTCTGCCAATTGCTTCGCTTCATTTTCAGCACTTTTCGACAGTTCGAGCTGCTTCTCAATTTCTGCTAATTGGCACTTTCCTTCCTCGACTTGGCCCGTTAGGTCGGAAATTCGTTTCTCTGAAAACTTTAGTTGGTTCAATAGTCTCGATTGCTCGGCTTTCGTCATTTCGTTTTCGTTGGTAAAATTGTTCAGGCTGTTTTCGAGTTCATTGAAAGCTTCTTTGGATGTTTTAAGTTCATTAAGCAATTTATCCTTTGCGTGTTCTAAATTTTTGACGGTACGATTCGCATTAGCAAGATCAGTCTGCAACATTGAAACGGATTCTTGCAGGACCATTTTGTCTTCCTCGCAAGCATTGAGACTCTTTTCTTTCTCCAACTTAGAATCCTTCAAATCTTCGAGACGTTCTTTCAGAACACTTTGAGAGTTCTTCAAATCTTCGTTTTCACATTGCAGCGATTTTAGATCGTCGGTACATTTTTCTAGCTCGCTTGCGAGACTTCGTTTATCGTCTGAAATATTAGACAGCTTCGCTTTCAAATTTAGTTTTTCCGATTCTAAATTAGTTATTATCGATGATTTTTCCTCATCTTCTTCTTTTGTCTCATTGAGTTCTTTCAAAATTTTATTGTAATCGGCCTGCAGCTGTTTACAATTGTCTTTTGTCAAACTTGAATTTTCAGTTTCCTCTCTTAAACTTTCCTTCAACTTCGCTACTTCAGTTTCCAAATTACTTTTTTCATTTGATAGCCTGTTTAATTGAGTTTGGCTCTCATTTAATGCTGAATTTAACCTTTTATTGTCTCTTTTAAAATCAATCAATTCCAGACTAACATTTTCGAGGTCAGTTTCCAGCTTTTTAAGTGCAGCTTCTTTCTTTTTGATTCCACTTTCAAGGTCTCGTATTTTCATTTTCATTTTTTTCCGCTCGCCATTGGACTTTTCTATTTGGGATTTCTGGTCCAAAATAAGTTTTCCTGATTCATTTATCTGCTGTGTCGAACTGTGGTTCGTTTTTTCCAAATTTTTTATTTCAATTTCAGATTCTGCCAATTTACTTTTAGAAATTTCTTGTTCTTGAGCTATGCTTTCAACTTTTTTGATCAGTTCATCTCGTTCCAAATTCGCTTTTTGCAAATCCAACTTCTTCGCTTTAAGCTCACTTTCTAAATTTTCTGACGTTTGCGTCAACGTAACAATCATCTCTTCTTTTTGTTCAGTTTTTCTCAAAGCTTCTTCAAATTCTTGTTCGTTTTCTTCCATTTGATTTTGCAAATTGTCAACAGTCGCTTGGAAAATAATTTTCTCTTCGGCCCAATTTTGACTGGCAAATTGATCACTCTGTGCAGACTCCAATTCCTGCTTCAAATTTTCAGCTTCGTCCTGCAAATTCTCAAACTCGTTCGAAATCTCGTTTAAAGCTTGATTTGTCAGCTCCAGATCTTCTTGAAGACTATTAATTTGACAGTCTTTCTCTTTCCTTTCCACTTCAGATTCTTCTAGAACATTCTCGAAAGAAGTTTGAAGCAGACTCTCTAGATTGGCTAGCTCCTTGAGGAGCTTTTCTCGCATGGCCGCGCTATCTGCTTTCAAATGAACCAAATCGGATTTTAATTTTGACACGAGCTCTTTCATCAAATTTGCCTGCGAGAAAACTTTTTCAGCTAGTTTTTCTTTTTCCACTTCTATGGTTTCAAAGTCGTCAAAATCTGTCGGCAGCGCACTTTCCAGCTCGTCGTTCGTTTCTGCTTTCAATGCCATGTCTTCTTCAAAAACCATTTCGGACTCCTCGCGTTTCCTTTTTTCAACTTTTTCCTCGACTTTTTTGGACTTTTGCTTAACTTTGCCGTCTGTTTTTGAGGTTAAATTTCTTTTTCGTAAAAGCGACTCAAGATTCGATCTCGGTTTGACGTTCCGTTTGGCATCAGATTTTTTCAGCTCTGGTATAGCCAACGTTTTTTCTTCAATTTTAGCTGGTGATGGCGAAGAACTTTCTGGCTTCGAGAGCAAATTATTAGCAGATTCATCAAAAGCCGGAAGTTCAGAAAAGCAATCACTACTCTGAGTCGCCTCGACAAACTCAGATTCCACAATTTGCGCTGTTTTCTCACAGTCCTCTGTCATTGTGGAGACGTCTTTGCTGGGTTCGACTTTCGACTCCTTCGGTTTAACGAGTTGCTTTTTCATTTTTGAAGTAAATTCCTTCAAACCTTTTAGCTCAACTTTAAGCTGCTCGTTTTCAATTTTAAGTTCGTCCACTTTGGAAGTCTCTTCAAGTTTGATTTGGTTTCGGTCTTCAAAGGTAGTTTCAGTGTTTGTGAAGTTTTCAGATGTTCGTTTTCTGTCAAGTTTGGTTTCGTCTTTGCCTTCAAATGTTGTTTCGGTGTTAGTAAAATTGTCAAATGTTAGTTTTTTGCACTGTTTGATTTCGCCACCAGTGTCAAATTTATGTTCAGTATTTGTAAAATTTTCAGATGTTTCAACATTTTCAGTACTGGTCAATTGTTCACGCGTACTCGCAGCTATCGTTGCGCTTCCTGATTGCATCTTTTCTGTTGTTACTACATTCACACCTTGTTCACACGTCATTATTGCTTCTGTGTTCACACTTCGATCATGAACGTCAGCAGGCTGGTTTGATGCTGCAACTTGCTCTTCTAATTCCAAAACATTTTCGCGTAAAAATGTCACAGACGCTTCAGATTCCTGCAGAGCTCTTTCCAGCTTCTCAATTTTGCTCAGCTTTGAGACCAATTCACGTTCGCTTTCTAACAGAGATTCCTGTCGTTTTTGATACTGCGTGTTTTGTAACTGGAGATCTTGAGTTTTAACCAATTCCGCGTCGTACAACTTTTCAGTCTCGTTATTTTTCTTTTTCAATAGCTTTTCGACAGCCTCCAATTCCCGAATTCGTTCCATTGGGTCCATCTTTTTAAGAGCAGCTCCTTTCTTCAATGGACCGACCTTAGATTCTAGCTTGGCTTTGTCAATTTCAAGTGATTTGATTTTCTCGCGACTCTGTTTCTCAGATGAATTCAAGTCTTTCACCTGTGAAAGCAAAGCAGCATTTTCCGCCTCCTTGTCTTTGATGAGCGAAAACTGATCCGCTAATTTCTGTTCATCAATCGATGTTCTGGGTGCTTGTGGGGCCAAATTTAGAGTCTTAATATGCATTGCTTCATTTTTCTTAGATAAAACTTCAATTCTTTCAATTAGATTTTTCTTCTCCTGGTTCAATTTATAAATTTCCCGCTCCAATTGAGAAATCTGGTCATGCGAGTCCGCAAAGTTCTTCTGCAACCTTTCCAAATCATTTCCGGCAGTTGCTTGCTCGGCTTGCAATTTTGGTCTCTCTTTTGTAGAAGCTAACCGGTCTTTCAAAGATGTGTTTTCTTCAGTCAAAGTGTCCAACACTTTGCTAATTTTTCTGATCTTCTGTTTGTCCGTTTGCACTTCTGTCTGAATTTCTGCGACCAACGTGCTCATCGAGTCGTCTTTCGCTTCAAGATCAGATATCGTATTCCGAACAACTTCTGGCTTCAGATGATGAGCATCCTGCTTTGAATGTTCCGCAAGCGATGTAACCAAACTTTGGTGAAGTTTTTCATTGAGATCTTCTTTGATCATTCTGGAAGATTCCAGATGCTCCTGCAACTCTGAAAGCTTTGAGCCAACTGTAGTTTTAGAAAGCGGTTCGTTGTTGTTGCTTTCTATTTGTTGTTGCTCAGCTGAAGAAGATTTCTCAATTGGTATTTTTTCATCTTCAGGCAAGACCGAATTCAAACGGTTTTTCAGGAGATCTCTTTCTATTTCTAGTTCATTCAGCTTTTTTCTCGTCTGCAGGAGATTCTGGAAAATTTCGGATGGATTCTGACTCAATGCACTGTCTAGCTCGCCTTCAAGACGACTTTTCGACGTCTTCAGGTACATATTTTCCTCTTCAAGCTCTCTGTTGCGCAATTTGTACTCAAACGCTTCTGCTTTCAATTCTTGATTTTCATCGTTGCTAGATCCGCTCAAAATTTCAGCAGTGATACTTTTTGCTTCTTCCGGCGAATATTTACTTTCGACCATTTTTATAACTTCAAGTGTCTGTTTTGCCTCTTGTTCAGACTTTTTCAATAGTTCAAACTTCCGTTCTAAAGATTCTAAGGCAACATTAGCCAAGCCCAGTTCTTGTTTGGCGAGAATTAGCTCTTTTTCGGGATCAGAAATTTGCGACAGATGTGAGTTTTGAACATCCTCCAAAACTTGTTTTTCGTGGGTTAACTGATTAATTTCTTCAACAAGAAGCGCATTTTCATCAAGAGCCTCTTTCAAATTTTCGTTCAGCTGATCAATTGAAACTTTCAATTTCATTTCAAATTCCTTGTTTTCTGTTGACCCTGAGTTTACAAATTCCTTAAGCTCACTTTCTGTTTTGTACGGCGTGACCTTGTACAACTCATTCGAAAGTTTCTCGGAGTACCTCTGAAGCGTGTCAATTGTTCCAGAATATTCTAGATTCTTCTTCTGTTCTTCTGAAAGCTTTTCTTTCAAATCCTCTGCTTCCTTTTGCATCAAAAATAGTTCCGCGTTTTCGTTGTTTGATTGCTGGAGTGTGTCCAAAATTTGAGACCCTTGATCAAAATCGTTGTCTAAAATTGATTCCAATTTTTCCTTTTCCGATTCCAAAATTTCCAGCTCGTTTTTCAAAGCATTCTCGTTTTCTTTCATTTCTTCTAGTTTTTCACTCAGAGCTGCAATTTCAGCATTTAATTCCAGATTCTCTACTTTGAGCGTTGAAAGTTCTTGCGCGAGGACTTTCGCAGACATTGAAGACTCTTTATTCGGGTTCTGTAAGAGATTTTGCAGTTCTGCTGTTAAATGCTCATTAAAAACTTTCAACTTCTGACATTCCTCCTGTTTTTGCTCAACAGTTTTGTCACATTTCTCAAGTTCTACTGCCAAATTAAACTTTTCGGTCTCAAATGCTTGAATCTTCATTTTTGAGTCTATCAAATCTTGGAGTATTTGCTCGTTTTCCGAGTTTGCGATGGCCGAAAATTCAGTCTCCATCAATCGTTTTACTTCTTTTTCTAGCGCTTCATTCTTATTGGTCAATTGGTCGGCCAATCTTGTTTCAGCTACTAATTTCTGCTGGGAGTTCTCAAGTTGATCTTTGAGAACTTCATTCTCAGCATCCATCATGAGCAACGAGCCTCTTCGTTCCCAATTTGAACCTGAAATACTCCCCAGAGACGCTGATTTTGCATGATAAAAATTATTTGAGGCTTTTTTATTGCATTCATCTTCCAACTTTTCACACTGTTTTTGCAAAATTCTGTTATCTTGAATTAATGAAAGATTGTCGTTCGATAACTTCAGCTCGTTTTTAGTCAATACTTCGTTTTCAGACTTCAGATGACATAATTCTTCTCGCAAGGAAGCTACCAAATCATCGTCTATTTCAGTTAACGAGGTTTGATTTCTTGAAACTGATTGTAACTCTTCCTTCAGGGTTTTCTTTTCTACTTCCAAAAACTCAGTTTGTCCCAAAATTTTTTCGTTTTTGTTGTTCAACTTTTGAATATTTTGTTTCAGAATTTCATTTTCACTTATGAGCTCGCAATTTTTAAACAGCAAATCGGAATATGTCTTAGAATCGATTCCCGGTATCTCCACGGAATTTTCGACATTATTCATTGCTAGTTTTGCCATTTCATTTCTTAAATTGTTGTTTGTGGCAATCAACTTCGCTTTCTCCGACTCTGTATTTTCAACTTTTTTGGAAAGTTTTTCGTTTTCTAAACTCATTAAAGACATTTCAGATGTAATTTCTGTCAAATGAGTTTTCAATTCAATTAAATCTTCAACCAAATTTTGCGGACCAATTTGGTTCAAAACACTTTGAAGTTCTTTCTGAAGAGATGATTTGACTTGATTCAATTTCATTTTTTCCATTTTTTCCACGTCAAATTTCGATTCGACAGTTTCCAATTCAAGTTCGAGCATTTCGATTCTCTTCACTGCAATTTCATATCGACTTTGCAAATCATTATAGACAGATTTTCCTACAAACGAGTTTCGAGTCACGTGTTGGTGAATTTTGGGGTCTATTTGTTCTTCATTTACCAAACCAGACAAATTTGGCGACTTCAATTTTTCAAGTTGTCTAAGTTCAGATTTTAGGTTTTCATTCTGAGTTTTGAGCTGAGCAATATCTGGAGTTTGCTGGTCTGAAAGTACACTTCGCACTTTCAAACTGTCGTTTTCCTTTGTAATCAAATTATTTTTAGCAATCAGTTTGAGCTCGTTCTCGTTTAGTAAATCTTTTTCCGCTTTCAAATGGCAAATTTTTTCTCTTAGCGTTGCAATTGCATTGACATCATCCAAAGCGGATTCAGAAGTTTTCACTTTTTTCCCAGAGAGCACTTTTAGCTCATCTATGAGATGTGACTTCTCCTTTTCGAGCAGAGAAGACTTTTCTGAAAATTCCTTATTGCTGTTCTTGAGATTTTTGAATTCTTCCTTCAAAGTTTTGCATTCGGAAGCGAGCTCAGAATTTTTATATAATAGATCGGAATAAGCTTTTGGGAAGTTTTCTATAAATGCTGATTTCGGAGCAAGAGTTTCAGCTAAACTTGCCATTTCTTGTTTCAGGTTACTGTTTGTATTTCTCAGCATTTCCATTTCAAGTTCTTTTCCTTGAAAAACTTGACGCATAGTGGTGGTTTCGGCAACCGCTAAACTTTTTTCAGATTCAATTTCAGACAAGCGAGTCTTCAATGAAACCATTTCATCGGCAAGATCATTAGACCCATCTTGCTCCAAGGCTTTCTGCAACTCATTCTGCAGAGAGTTTTTAACTAGTGAGAGCTTCAATTTTTCAGCCTTTTCTTCTTCGATTGATTTCTGACAGCTACTAAGAATACCTTCAAGCTCTTCAATTTTACGAACATCTTTTTCGTGCTGGAGCGACAAATTCGTCCATTGCAAATGTTGTGGCATTGAATTCAACTCTGCATTATTGATTGCAACTTCAGGTGCATGCATACTCATCCTTGGCAGAACTTCTTCTTCCCGATTCTCTACATACATCGATTCAAAGTCTGTCTGATTCCTGGAGACCTTCTGCTGCTCGTTTAACTTTTTATTCTCGTGCGTCATAAGACGAATTTGACCAGACAATTTGAGATTTGATTCATCCAGGAGCTCTTTTTCTGCCTTCAATTGGCAGCAATCTTCGCGCAATTTGTCAAGCGTTGCACCATCTACCGTAGATCCTTCTGTGATCGCAGCAGACAGCACACGCATTTCTTCCTGGAGAATTTTATTCTCTCTTTGTAATGCAGCCAACTTTCCTGATGTTTGGTTATACTTTTTATTCATGTTTTGGTAAGAATTCTCAAGGGCTTTGCATTGCGAAGCTAGCTCACACTTCTCACAAAGCAACTCGGAATACGTTTTTTGATTACTACCTTTAAGCGAATTTTCCTCAGCTAAATTGGTGGCTAAAATGGAAACTTCCTGTTTCAGATTGGTGATTGTGTTCTCCAAAATTTGAATTTCATGCTCTTTTTCTTCGATAGCTTTGCTTAAACTCAGATTGTCTGAACTTGCTAGGGCCTTCTCTGCTTCCGAATGAGATAGTTTGATTTTTGTTTGTGCCAAATCCTCAGCAAAATCATTTGCACCCAAATGTTCGAAAGAATCTTGAGTTTCCCGCTGAAGAGGTTGATTCACTTGCTTTAATAAAATGTTTTCATCTTTTTCTTCCTCAGCGGCACTTTCATGATTAGAAACTAGTTCCTCCATTAGATCAACTTTTTGGATATCTTTTTCATGCTGAACAGTCAAGTCAACTGGTTTTACATCTGTCGCCATAACTCGCCAATCGTTTCGCGCCAAACCGTCGTTTTGCTCTTGATTTGGTTTACCCATGGGGTCGTTGATAGGTTTTCCAAATCTCTCCTTCTGATGAGACAAAAACTGAACCTGGTTAGATAAATCGATTAATTTCTCCTCTAGCAGCTCATTTTCCGCTTTCAACTTACACCAGTTTCCACGCAATTTTCCAATTTCGTCATCATTTAGCGTAACCCCTTCTGTTGAGGCAGAGGAGCCTGCAGTCAAATCTTCTTCCAGATAACTTTGCTCTCTTTTCATATGGTCGAAGGCCGCAATAGTATTATTGTATTTCTCATTTAAGTTTTTGTAAGAACTCGTAAGAGCTTCGTACTTTGAAGAAATTTCACAATTTTCGCAAACCAACTCAGAGTAAGTTTTTTGATTGTTTTCTTCTGCCAGGTGCGTCTCAGGGTATTTATTGGTTAGGTTAGCAATTTCTTTTTTCAAACTTGTAATTGTAGTTCCCAAAGTCAGCACTTCAACATCTTTTTCTTCGAGAGCTTGGGTTAAACTTTTATTCTCTGTATTGCATAAGGCCTTCTCAGCTTCCGATTGAGATAGTTGAGTTTTAGTTTGCGCCAAGTCCTCGGCTAAATCTTTAGCACCAAAACATTCAAAGGAGTTCTGTAGCTCCCTCTGAAGAAAATTGATTGTTTGCGTTAATTTAAGAATCTCAACGTTCTTCTCTGCAATGGCTTTCTCACAATTAGAGACTTGTTCCTCCTGTTCGACAAATTTCCGATTATCTTTTTCATGCCAAACAAGCAAGTCAGTGGGTTTCGAAATTGTCGACGGCAATTCTTCTTCAGTTTGCGTCAAAACATCGCCAGTGGTAGAAGAGAACGCACGAGACAGACCCTCGTTCAAACTGTGCTCTTTATTTTGGATTGAAACAGCGGGTTGTTCTTCTTGCGATTGATCGATAGAGGGGTTGACATACCTTGCAAATTGCTTTGTCTGATTAGACAAAAGTAGGATCTGGCAAGATAATTCGACATTTTTCTCCTCCAGCAGCTCGTTTTCCGCTTTCAGTTTACAACAATTTTGACGCAACTTGCCAGTTTCTTCATCGTCTAGTGTAACTCCTTCTGTTGCAGCAGCGGAACTTTTTATCAATTCTTCGTTGAGATAAATGTTCTCTTTTTTAACAAGATCTAACGACTCATAAAGGCTGCGGTATTTGTCATTTAACATTTTGTTAGAACTTGTTAGAGCTTCGCACTTCGAAGAGAGTTCACAATTTTCGCAAACCAAATCAGAGTAAGTTTTTTGATTGTTTTCTTCCGCCAGGTACGTCTCAGGGTAATTATTGGTTAGGATAGCAATTTCTTTTTCCAAATTTGTTATTGTAGTTCCCAAAGTTAGCACTTCAATATCTTTTTCTTCGAGAGCTTGGGATAAATTTTTATTCTCTGTATTGCATAAGGCCTTCTCAGCTTCCGATTGAGATAGTTGAGTTTTAGTTTGCGCCATGTCCTCGGCTAAATCTTTAGCACCAAAACATTCAAAGGAGTTCTGTAGCTCCCTCTGAAGAGATTTGACTGTTTGCGCTAACCTAAGGTTCTCAATCTTCTCCTCTGCAATGGCTTTCTCACAATTAGAGATTTGTTCTTCCTGTTTGTCAATTTTTCGTTTATCTCTTTCGTGCCGAACAAGCAAGTCAATTGATTTTGAATTTGTTGACAGCAACGCTTCTTCAGTTTGCGTCCAATCATTATCAGTGGTAGAAGAGAAAGCACGAGACGGACCCTCGTTCAAATTGTGCTCTTTAGACTGGGTTAAAAATCCGAATTGTTCTTGTTTTGGTTGATCCATAGAAGGTCTGACGTGTCTTGACAGTTTCTGCTTCTTCTGAAAATGCACCTGGCTGTTTAATTCGAGATTTAATTCCTCTAGCAGCTCATTTTCCGATTTCAACTTACAACAAGTTTGACGCAAATTGCTAATTTCTTCATCGCCTAGAGTAATTTTATCTGGTTCGGCAGCGGAAATCTTAACCAATTCCTCTTTGAGATAGCTATTTTCTTTTTTCGTAAGGTCTAAAGATTCAAAAAGGCTGAGGTATTTGTCATTTAACCTTTTCTTAGAACTTGTAAGAGATTCGCATTTGGAAGAGAGTTCACAATTTTCGCAAACCAAATCAGAGTAAGTTTTTTGATTGTTTTCTTCCGCCAGGTACGTCTCAGGGTAGCTATTGGTTAGGATAGCAATTTCTTTTTCGAGATTTGTGACTGTAGTTCCCAAAGTTAGCACTTCAATATCTTTTTCTTCGAGCGCTTGGGTTAAATTTTTATTCTCTGTATTGCATAAGGCCTTCTCAGCTTCCGATTGAGATAATTGAGTTTTAGTTTGCGCCCAGTCCTCGGCTAAACCTTGCGTACCAAAACAATCAAAGGAGTTCTGTAACTCCCTCTGAAGAGATTTGATTGTTTGCGTTAACTTAAGGTTTTCAATTTTCTCCTCTGCAATTGCTTTCTCACAATTAGAGATTTGTTCCTCCTGTTCGACAAATTTCCGATTATCTTTTTCATGCCAAACAAGCAAGTCAGTGGGTTTTGAAATTGTCGACGGCAATCCTTCTTCAGTTTGCGTCAAAACATAGTCAGTGGTAGAAGAGAACGCACGAGACAGACCCTCGTTCAAATTGTGCTCTTTAGTTTGGATTGAAACAGCGGGTTGTTCTTCTTGCGATTGATCGATAGAGGGGTTGACATACCTTGCAAATTGCTTTGTCTGATTAGACAAAAGTCGGATCTGGCAAGATAATACGACAATTTTCTCCTCCAGCAGCTCGTTTTCCGCTTTCAGTTTACAACAATTTTGACGCAACTTGCCAGTTTCTTCATCGTCTAGTGTAACTCCTTCTGTTGCAGCAGCGGAACTTTTTATCAATTCTTCGTTGAGATAAATGTTCTCTTTTTTAACAAGATCTAACGACTCATAAAGGCTGCGGTATTTGTCATTTAACATTTTGTTAGAACTTGTTAGAGCTTCGCACTTCGAAGAGAGTTCACAATTTTCGCAAACCAAATCAGAGTAAGTTTTTTGATTGTTTTCTTCCGCCAGGTACGTCTCAGGGTAATTATTGGTTAGGATAGCAATTTCTTTTTCCAGATTTGTTATTGTAGTTCCCAAAGTTAGCACTTCAATATCTTTTTCTTCGAGAGCTTGGGATAAATTTTTATTCTCTGTATTGCATAAGGCCTTCTCAGCTTCCGATTGAGATAGTTGAGTTTTAGTTTGCGCCATGTCCTCGGCTAAATCTTTAGCACCAAAACATTCAAAGGAGTTCTGTAGCTCCCTCTGAAGAGATTTGATTGTTTGCGTTAACTTAAGGTTCTCAATTTTCTCCTCTGCAATGGCTTTCTCACAATTAGAGATTTGTTCCTCCTGTTCGACAAATTTCCGATTATCTTTTTCATGCCAAACAAGCAAGTCAGTGGGTTTCGAAATTGTCGACGGCAATCCTTCTTCAGTTTGCGTCAAAACATCGCCAGTGGTAGAAGAGAACGCACGAGACAGACCCTCGTTCAAACTGTGCTCTTTAATTTGGATTGAAACAGCGTGTTGTTCTTCTTGCGATTGATCGATAGAGGGGTTGACATACCTTGCAAATTGCTTTGTCTGATTAGACAAAAGTAGGATCTGGCAAGATAATTCGACATTTTTCTCCTCCAGCAGCTCGTTTTCCGCTTTCAGTTTACAACAATTTTGACGCAACTTGCCAGTTTCTTCATCGTCTAGTGTAACTCCTTCTGTTGCAGCAGCGGAACTTTTTATCAATTCTTCGTTGAGATAAATGTTCTCTTTTTTAACAAGATCTAACGACTCAGAAAGGCTGCGGTATTTGTCATTTAACATTTTGTAAGAACTTGTTAGAGCTTCGCACTTCGAAGAGAGTTCACAATTTTCGCAAACCAAATCAGAGTAAGTTTTTTGATTGTTTTCTTCCGCCAGGTACGTCTCAGGGTAATTATTGGTTAGCATAGCAATTTCTTCTTCCAGATTTGTTATTGTAGTTCCCAAAGTTAGCACTTCAATATCTTTTTCTTCGAGAGCTTGGGATAAATTTTTATTCTCTGTATTGCATAAGGCCTTTTCAGCTTCCGATTGAGATAGTTGAGTTTTAGTTTGCGCCATGTCCTCGGCTAAATCTTTAGCACCAAAACATTCAAAGGAGTTCTGTACCTCCCTCTGAAGAGATTTGATTGTTTGCGTTAACTTAAGGTTCTCAATTTTTTCCTCTGCAATGGCTTTCTCACAATTAGAGATTTGTTCCTCCTGTTCGACAAATTTCCGATTACCTTTTTCATGCCAAACAAGCAAGTCAGTGGGTTTTGAAATTGTCGACGGCAATCCTTCTTCAGTTTGCGTCAAAACATCGCCAGTGGTAGAAGAGAACGCACGAGACAGACCCTCGTTCAAACTGTGCTCTTTATTTTGGATTGAAACAGCGGGTTGTTCTTCTTGCGATTGATCGATAGAGGGGTTGACATACCTTGCAAATTGCTTTGTCTGATTAGACAAAAGTAGGATCTGGCAAGATAGTTCGACATTTTTCTCCTCCAGCAGCTCGTTTTCCGCTTTCAGTTTACAACAATTTTGACGCAACTTGCCAGTTTCTTCATCGTCTAGTGTAACTCCTTCTGTTGCAGCAGCGGAACTTTTTATCAATTCTTCGTTGAGATAAATGTTCTCTTTTTTAACAAGATCTAACGACTCAGAAAGGCTGCGGTATTTGTCATTTAACATTTTGTTAGAACTTGTAAGAGCTTCGCACTTCGAAGAGAGATCACAATTTTCGCAAACCAAATCAGAGTAAGTTTTTTGATTGTTTCCTTCCGCCAGGTGCGTCTCAGGGTATTTATTGGTTAGGTTAGCAAATTCTTTTTTCAAACTTGTAATTGTAATTCCCAAAGTCAGCACTTCAACATCTTTTTCTTCGAGAGCTTGGGTTAAATTTTTATTCTCTGTATTGCATAAGGCCTTCTCAGCTTCCGATTGAGATAATTGAGTTTTAGTTTGCGCCAAGTCCTCGGCTAAACCTTGTGCACCAAAACAATCAAAGGAGTTCTGTAACTCCCTCTGAAGAGATTTTATTGCTTGCGTTAACTTAAGGTTTTCAATTTTCTCCTCTGCAATGGCTTTCTCACAATTAGAGATTTGTTCCTCCTGTTTGACAAATTTCCGATTATTTTTTTCAAGCCAAACAAGCAAGTCAGTGGGTTTTGAAATTGTCGACGGCAATCCTTCTTCAGTTTGCTTCAAAACATCGTCAGTGGTAGAAGAGACCGCACGAGACAGACCCTCGTTCAAACTGTGCTCTTTAGTTTGGATTGAAACAGCGGGTTGTTCTTGTTGCAATTGATCCATAGAGGGGTTGACTTGCCTTGTCAATTGCTTAGTCTGATTAGACAAAAGTAGCATTTGGACAGATAATTCGACGTTTTTCTCCTCCAGCAGCTCATTTTTCGCTTTCAACTTACAACAATTTTGACGCAACTTGACAGTTTCTTCATCTTCTAGTGTAAATCCTTCTGTTACAGCAGCGGAACTCTTTATCAATTCTTCGTTGAGATGAAAGTTCTCTTTTTTAACAAGATCTAAAGACTCAGAGAGGCTGCGGTAATTGTCATTTAACCTTTTGTTAGAACTTCTAAGAGCTTCGCACTTCGAAGAGAGCTCACAATTTCCGCAAACCAAACCAGAGTAGGTTTTTTGATTGTTTTCTTCCGCCAGGTGCGTCTCAGGGTATTTATTGGTTAGGTTAGCAAATTCTTTTTTCAAACTTGTAATTGTAGTTCCCAAAGTCAGCACTTCAACATCTTTTTCTTCGAGAGCTTGGGTTAAATTTTTATTCTCTGTATTGCATAAGGCCTTCTCAGCTTCCGATTGAGATAGTTGAGTTTTAGTTTGCGCCAAGTCCTCGGCTAAATCTTTAGCACCAAAACATTCAAAGGAGTTCTGTAGCTCCCTCTGAAGAGATTTGATTGTTTGCGTTAACCTAAGGTTCTCAACGTTCTTCTCTGCAATGACATTCTCACATTTAGAGTCTTTCTCTTCCTGTTGCTCAATTTTTCGAATATCACTTTCATGTCGAACAAGTGAGTCAATTGGTTTTGAATTGGCCGACATCAATACCTCTTCAGTTTGCTTCAAATCATTGTCAGTGGTAGAAAAGAGTGCACGAGACAGACCCTCGTTCAAATTAAGCTCTTTAGTTTGGGTTACAACAGCTGGTTGTTGATGTTTTAGTTGATACATAGAGGGGTTGATATGCCTTGCCAATTTCTGCTTCTCATGAAACAAAACTCGCATCTGGTTAGACAGTTCGAGATTTTTCTCCTCCAGCAGCTCATTTTCCGCTTTCAATTTACAACAATTTTGACGCAACTTGCCAATTTCTTCATCGTCTGGTGTAACTCCTTCTGTTGCGGCACCGGAACTCATAATCAATTCTTCGTTGAGATAATTATTCTCATTTTTCATAAGCTCTAAAGACTCAGAAAGGCTGAGGTATTTGTCATTTAATTTTTTGTAGGAATTTGTAAGAGCTTCGCACTTCGAAGAAAGTTCACAATTTTCGCAAACCAAATCAGAGTAAGTTTTTTTATTGCTTTCTGCCGTCAGGTACGTCTCAGGGTAATTATTGACTAAGTTAGCAATTTCATTTTTCAGTTTTGCGATTGTCATTCCCAATATGTGCATTTCAACATCTTTTTCTTCGAGAGCTTCGGATAAACTTTTACTGTGTGAATTTGCTAGAACCTTCTCAGCTTCCGATTGAGATAGTTCGATTTTGATTTGTACCAAGTTCTCAGCTAAGTCAGTTGCAACCAAAGGTTCAAAAGCATCCTGAAGTGCAGTTCGAAGAGATTTCATCTCTTGCGTTAGCGTGAGGTTTTCAGATTTCTCTTCTTCAATGGAAGTTTCATAATTAGAGATTAGTTCTTCCAGGTGTTCTATTTTTCTTGCATCTTTTTCGTGCTGAACCAGCAAATCAATAGGTGTTACATGCGGCATCAATTTTCTCTGTTCTTGATGGTCTATACCATCTCCATAGGTTGGCAAAGTTAGAGACACTTGGTCGTCTTGATTGCGGTTATCCATGTTATTAGGAAGCACCGACTGAGCTGTGCTCTTAAGCTCCTTCGTCAGTAAGCGAACCTGGCTACACAACCTGAGATTTGATTCCTCCAGTACTTCTTTTTCAGCCTTTAACCGACCGCAATCTTCCATGAGGTTGTCAAGCGTTCCTTGGTCTACAGTAGTGCCGTTTGTGGCGGCAAAAGAGAGAACGCTAATGTCTTCTTTCAGAAGCTTCTTCTCTTTTTCAAAAAGAGTCAATTTTGCTGATGTCCTGTCATATTTTTCTTTAAATTTTCTACAGGAACCTTCAAGGGTTTTGCAGTGAGCTGAAAGTTCGCAGTTCTCGCAAAGTAACTCAGAGTACGTCTTTTGTTTTATATTCCCTGAATTAACAATTTCAGAGGAGTTTTCCGTCAAATTTGCTATTTCTTTCCTCATTGTGTTTTTCATGTTTTCCAGTGCTTCTATCTCACATTTCTTTTCATCCAAAGACGAACTGAGCGTGGCATTTTCAGCCGTGATGATTTTATTTTCAGCGTCCAATTCTAATACTCGTGATTTCAGCTCTGCTGTTTCTGCCGCTAGATCATGTTTCTTGCGACTTCTAAATTCTTTCTCCAGTTGTTTTTGAAGGGTGTTTTTAACCTGGGCTAATTTAAGTATCTCCACTTCCCCCTCGTCAATTTTCTTGTCAGCGAAGGCGAGTCGCTTTTCAAGAATCTCGATTTTCTGAATTGCTTCTTTGAGTCGTTTTTCCAAGTCACTGTAAGTTAAGTCTTCCATATTGTTCACGGTTGACCTGACTTCAACAAAGTCGTTCAATTGCGGCTCTTCTTCAGCGAACAACGGCTCATTTTGTTCCAATTCAGTTTCCAAATCGTCAGTTTCAGTTGGACATTGAAGTACTTTCACGTCACTTTGAGTGATTTCAACGAGTTCATCCTTGTTTTCATACTTTTCTTTCTGCATTTCCATCGAAGTCGGTTCAAGATTCTGGCCTCTGTTCAACTTAAGCCTAGCAATTTCCCTTTTTAAAGTAACTTCCTCTTGCTTCAAGTTTCGCAATTCATCAACCTTGGTTGCCAATTTTTGCTCCAAAGCGCCAACTACTGCAGATTGCTCCGCATTTTCAATTTTGAGCGCCAGGTTTTCAGATCTAACTTGTCGTTTTAGTTCTTCTGCTTCTTTCAAATTTGTTTCTAACAATTCAAACATGGGCATTTCAGCTTTGCTGACCGACTGTTTTCGCGTTTCAAGTTCTTTTACCTGTTTTACTTTTTCATTCTTCTCATTTTCGGCTAATCGCTCTCTTAGAACTTTCACACTCGACTCGAGATACGTAATAGCCTCGCTGTTTCCATCGTTTTCTGCTTGCTGGAACTCAGTTAACTGCTTCAATTCTTTGTTTCTGGCCTCTAACTCAGCTACTTTTTTCTCCAGTTGTGCCACGAATTTGTTCTCTCGTTCTTTCATGCTCATGTCACTGTCAACATATTTGTTCGCCACTTTGTCAACGATTTCATTTGCAGTAGTCGACGAAGTTTGAACCGTGGTTACAAATTGAGGAGTAGTTCCAGTTTCATTATTTTGTTGTCGCCCAAAGTTGCTTTGATCTGCACGGTTTCCATTGCGACTGTGTAGCGAAGAATCAACAGGTATTTTTTGGGCGCTTTGATTTGACTCAATATCGGGTAAATTACTCTGGTTTTCTCTGGCTCTCTGGTTGTTAGCATCAGAAATACTGCTTTGAAGTTGTCGAAACTCTATATTACTAGAAGAAATTTCATCGCCAGACGACCATGATTTAGGAAAGAGTGATCGCAATTGTTCAATTTCGGCTTCCAATTTCTCGTTTTGCTGAAGAGCTTCGTTGTACCTGTCGCGTAGCTCAGCATCATTCAAAGAATTATTGGGCTTCTGTGTCACTCTAACAAGCTCGGTATTTGAACTCTAAAACAAAACAAATCCTCATTTTTAGGTTTGCCGATCAAGAGCGTATCTAGGATTTTCTCTCGGAGGGAGAAAAAGGGGCGGGCAAGGGGGGGGGGGGGGGGGGGGGGGGGAAGGTGGTGCATTGGAGGAGGGTAACTACATCTGGTGCTAAATTAGCCCCTAATTGAGCATCGAAATTTTATTGGGTCGGTCGAATTGGTCTTCTGCGCCACAAGCTGCAGTTACGACTTTCAAACTTTTGATCTTTGACCAAAAAAAGTCACGGCTTTATCGTTATAAGGCACAAGTTTCCTCATCGCAGCTGGTCTAATCTATAGCATTTGTGTCTTTAACTCCTTAAGATTTTTTCAAATCAAGGACAGAGAGGCCACTTAAAATGAAATTAACTGCTTATGCACTGAGACTTGGGGCTCTTACTGACAGTCAGATTTGACGCCTTCTAAGCTGTAGAAAAACGCGTACACACTAGTAAACATTAAACTTCCTCGCAAACTTTATGCCCTCTAGAAAGACTCAGATATACATAACAGACTTTTTAAAAAGTGTAAGTGAAAAATGACTTTTTAACGAAAACTTTATATCACCTGGAAGCTCTTTGAATTTCAAGAAGCTTTCATGATAGTTTTTTTTGATAAAGACAATCCTATTCGAAAAACTTGGATCAATAGCGAATTCGAGACGATTTACTATGAATATGAAACCAAAAAAACATTTGGTAGCAATCAAAAATATAAAATCAGCTAGTTCATATCCCAGCTGAGCTAGCGGTTACAAGTTGTAAATTTCACGCACAACGCCCGCAGTGACTCCCTGCTAAAACTGAGCAAATCACATATTTCCTCTAAATAAGCGTTCGACGACAGACTCAATCAGATTACATAATTTTCTTGATTATGAAACATCCATCTCGAATCATTTTACGCTGACAATTGAAAAAAAATTCTGAAAAAATACGGGAAAAAAAGCAATTAAGCCCACTCAAAGCTTCACACATACGATTACTCACAAATTATACAGCATAACTCGGCCCGCTAAATTGCAACCTCTTAGATTTCAAGCATGTGACTACGTACACCATTCACAGTATAAAATGTTTAGTCTTTTATGAAAAAAATAACGAAACCACAGTAAAATCTCCAATAATTCCTAAAAAGTATAAGAAATACAAGACTGTTTGTATATCAGGGCAAAGCCCTGAATGTACCGACTGCCCCTTAATCCATATCAAATAGGTTTTTGGGTAAAGAAAATATTGGAGAAGACTATAAATTTTGGACTATATCAAAGATCAAAATTTGAATCGTACAAAACTAATACGACCGACTAGCGAGCCTCAATTCAATTTTGAACAGTTTTGTTGAGCAGAAAAATTTGCCACACATAAATGATACGCATTACGCTCTCAAGATTTTGGATGAAAACTTCAAAGTGCGCACAAATTAGTCCAGAGCAAGGCCAAATTGGCAATTTTCATACTGCCAATTTGGCCCGCGGGAGGAAAAGGTACCATGTCTACGATCAAGAATGTTTTCCTCCCTAGAACACGACTTTTCAACCAACTAAGAAAATCCAACTAAGAAAACCATCTCCAAAACCTTGGCCGTAAAGCAATTGCTGCTTTAACAACGCCTAAATATCGACTCCGAGAAATTGGTTTACCACTTTTAGAGCTAAACAGCATCATCCAACAACAAACTATGAAGCTGAAACTAAAGATTTTTTCCAAGTGGATTTAGCGGCTAGAACTTGCGGCTCTTCAGATGTCAAAACTTGAATGAAACAAGAATCCCTGACTGGAAACTAACTATTCAAAAAGCCGTGTAAACAAAGTTGAAACTTAAATTGGCTTTACTTTTTCTCTAGACTACAAAACATCAATCTATCGAAGCATTTACACATTGCCAATTAAACACACTTTAATCACAACCAAAAAACTCAGCCTTCAGTTTTTAAAATCTCAAAAACGTCTAACATTTCATTAGCATAACATTCACTTTATAACTTGTACAAACAATTGTTTCCTTTATCGAACAAATAACACCTTCTCACAATCTTCAATTATTCCTAAAGGCATAAAGAATTATAAAACAATTATTTCATAACTTAGTCTATAACCATGTTGATGTACTGGTTAGGACTTGTGGTTTTCACCCACAAGGCCCGGTCTCGCCTTGCGGACTAGGAAAGTGCAATCACGGAATTACAAAAAAAAACGCGTAATAATTCTACACTCAAAAACTTTTTCCTACCTAGAACACAAACACTCCAAATTCTCTAATAAACTGAGAAAATCACCAAATCTTAGACGTAAGCTAAGGCCACTGCAATTACGCCTTTATATCAAGTCCGAAAAATTGTTTTCGCACTTTTAGAGCTAATAAGCACCTCTAAGAAGGTAAACCGAAAGATCATGTAGAAGTAAAAAAAAAATTTGACCAAGTGGATTTAGCGGTTACGACTTTCGGCTCTTCAAAATCAAAGGTTCGCCGGACTGCGAACTAACTATTTAAAAAAAATGTAAACAAAGAGCTCCGTTGAAACTTCAATGGGCTTCACTTTTTCTCAAGACTACAAAACATCAGTCTATCGAGTCATTCATACATTGCCAAAAAAGCACAACTGAAAAACAATTGAAAAAAAAAAACGCAGACTGCAATTTTTAAAATCTCAAAACCTAAAACATTCGAATAAGCATAAGGTTCACGTTATAACTTTTCCTAATAGTTGTTTGCTTCATCGAAAAAAAAAACAACCTCCTAACATTTAAGCACAACCATTAATTACACTTTAATCACAAAAAAGAAACTAAGCCAGCATTTTTTAAAATCTCAAAATCTAAAACTTATGATTACGCACAACGTTCACTTATAACCGAAACAAAAAACCTCTTAATTTCGAAGTTTGATCGCATGAAAACATCGTGCTCAGAAAAACGTTGAAATATTCAATTTATCTCATAGATCGAATGATTTTGCGAAAAACTTTGTCTAAAAAGATTCAGTCTATAAAATAACTTGAATTTATTCGAAATTTTATAGCTTCAAAAGCTTGCCTAGAAAAACTCGAAAAATCAGTTCAGTCTATAGAATACCTTGAAATATTTCAAACTTTTTTAGCTTTTGTAGCTTGCCCAGAAAAAATTCGTTTTTTTTTCGCGAATTGAATCGCTCTATGAAACAACTTGAAATATTTTTTTTGTTTCATCGCTTGAATAGCTTCCACAGCAAAACCGAAAAATTTGCCACCCGATGTGCTTCATCGAACATCTTGAAGTATTTTAAGTTTCATAGCTTGAATCCGTTTTGCTTCATGAAAAATCTTGAAATATTCTAAGTTTCATAGCTTGAATAGCTTGCTTAGAAAAACTACAAGTTTTCGGGAACCGATTCGTTCTATAAAACCTTAACTTTATCAAAAAGATTTGCGATATGTCTCATGTTGAAAATATTCAATGTTTCATTGCTTGGATAGCTTGATCAGAACAAGAAATAATTTTTTGCGAGCCAAGTGAGTATTGGAGGCGGGCTTGCTAGTTCTCATAACAACTGATAAAATTTCCAAATATTGGACGTAAGCAATTGCCATTGCAACTGAGTTTTTCTATTGAATCCGAGAAAATATAACTCATACAAATCAGTGTTTCCTTTATTGAAACAAAAAACTTCCTAAAAAATTGACCTTAACACTTAAAGGCATAAACAACTAAAAAAAATCATTACATACGGATAACTAAATCGCAATTGATCAAGCGGTTACGATTTGCAATTTACAACCACAAGGCACGGGTTCAACTTTCTGACTGGGAAATTTTTGCGTAACAAAGAATTCTTGAACATAAGAAATCTATTGCATTTTCAATCGAAATTTATTTATTTCACTTGATAACACAAAAAAGATACCCTGAAGCAGTTATATCAATACAATGACATTTAGGCAGTTATTTTACGATAATGGAAATAAACAAAGAAAACCGTCGTTTTTAAGATCATCACGCTTCAAGGGCTTGTTTTTAACATTCAAATCATAAATCAAACAACGATAATTGTTTTCTCTTTTAAAACAGCATGAACACATAATAACCTAAAAAAATCTAGAGAGGCATTAAGCAACATTGATTTTTTTTGCGAAACAACCGATAACAAAGGTTTGATTTTCACATTCAAATCATAATTCGAACAGCGATAACTGTTCTCTCTATTAAACCGACATGAACACACATTATCCTGAAATAAATCCTAAGAGGCGTAAAGCAACATTAAAGTTATTGCAAAATAAAGTATAACATCCCAGTTAGTCGAGAGATTGGGACTTGCACTCTCAAGTTAGTCAAGAGAAAGGCTTACACCTACAAGGACCGCGTTTAACTCTCAGACTGGGAAATTTTTGCGTACCAGAAAATTCTTAAACATAAGAAATCTATTAAAATTTCAAACAAAATTTATTTATTTCTTTTGATAACACAACAAGGATATCCTGAAGCAGTTATTCCTATATAATGACAATTAGGCATTTTGTTACGATAATGAAAACAAACAAACAAATTTGGCATCTTTAAGATCTTCACGTTTCAAAGGTTTGATTTCAAAATTCAAATCACAATTCGCACAACGATAACTGTTTTCTCTATTAAAACAACATGAACACTTATTAATCTGAAATAAATCCTAAGAGGCATAAAGCAACAATAAAGTTATTGCAAAATAAAGTATAACATCCCAGTTAGTCAAGAGACTGGGACTTGTGGCTCTCACCACATGGTCCCGCTTCAGTTCACGTACTCGGAAAGTGCAATCATAGAATTACAGAACATTAATTAGCATTATTTTTACAACTAACATATTATTTCTTCCCTACAACACAAATTCTCATATCAACTGAGAAAATTTCCAATTCTTGAACGTAAGCTTTTGCTATTGCAAAAATGCTTTTAAATCGAATCCGTGAAAAAATAACTTACCCAAATAGATGTTTTTTTTTAATCTAAATAAAAAAATCTC